CATTATAGGTCAAGGTACTTTTGTATACTATTGTTTGTCTTGTTTTTTTGTCATGGCGTTGTCAGTTTATTTTCGACTTACGATATCCCTGTTAGGTTTTGAGTTGTGTACTTCGCGTTGTTATAAGGTTCGGTTGATTCTAAAGAAAATACTACTGTACAGTTCAATATTCTATTCAAACATTAGCATAAACATAGTTAAAATATTCGACATCAATACGCAACGTCATATAATTAGTGGCGACGGTACATATAGTTATGCTTTACGTTCCCGCAATCCTCGACATTCTGGGGGCCACCGAAAATGGAAATTACTAAGAAATAATTAAAATTTACAATCACAAAGAATAAAAAAGATTCTACTGTTACTGTCTCTGTAATATACGATACTTGCAAAATTAAACTTTAACTAAAATCACAATTGTCTTTAAAATTGCCCTTCGGTCATTTTATGTCATCGAAAGTGAACACCACTGTAACAGTCCATAAAACAGCTTCTACACTCCATAATCATTATTTTAATCGTAAAAGGTCCTTTTCCTTCCTAGTTCTGTAAAATTGGAATTTTCTTCGGGCGGGAACGAAGAGAATAATGCGTTTTACAATTTTCACTACTTGGGTCTTATAATTCCCAATTACTTACAATTTAACAATTGGTCGGTTTCACGAATCAAATCCTTTACGATTGCTAACCTCCACATAAGTCTATTAGAATCGTTGTGAACTTAGTTTGAATGTTAATACCAGTTGCACGGTGAAATTCTCGTAAGGATATTAAATATTCATTCCTCCAACGTGTACGAAAATGTTTAATAAGTTGATCTTGTCTGAAGTTTTTTGTTACAATACGAATGATTAGAATTGTGGATGTTTTCAATATCACCCATTTAGTGTGGTAACGAATCCAATCTTCTCCCGTTAAGTAAGTGTGATGGCGTAAGTGGTTGTGGACCGGTTATGTCTGTTGAAATATACGTAACCGGACGGTGGTTATTTAGCATACTTTCAACTTCAGATACTATTGTTCGAAGCATGTCAATAGTAACAAATGATCGACCTAATACTTTCTGAATTGCATTTTTTGTAAGTCCTGTAAGTCTTTCCCACCATCCAACAAACCATGTGGCTCTATATGTGATAAAATTCCTTTCAGTTCCGCAATCCACCACTTTTTGTTGAATTGATTCAGCTGCAGCTTTAAATGTATTTGCGTTATCTTTCATCATTATTCTTGAAAGTGAACGACGTGCCACCAATCTCCTAAAAGCCAACAATAATGACTCCTCTGTCAGATCCGCTACAATTTCAAGATGCACTGCTCGTGTTGTTGCACATGTAAACACGCAAATATAAGTTTTGTAGTCAATGTTATTTTGTCCTCTTGTACATAAAGCACATGTAAAGACGACATCTGTAACAAAAAAGGGGTACGCGGTAAGGTTTTCCGGTTTCTTTATTGCACTGTGAGCATTTTCTAAGGTGGTATTTCACACATTGACGAATGCTATAAATCCAAACCAAAACTTCTGCTGAATATGCGCAATTGGGCTGTTTGGTCCAGAGTATACATTTTTGTGATGCATTTCTCTAATTATCAACGACATAAAAATAGTTGGTAACAAAATTGGATACTTAGTACTGTAATCTAATTGTGCGTTGTTGAGTCTTCCTCCACATCGCAATAATCCGATATCGTCCAAATACAGTCTTAGTTGTCTAACGATAGCAATTTTGATGATGGATTCAAACTATCAATCTCGGATTCGAAGGTCGTCCGTTGAACATTACAAATAAGTGTATTCTCGGCTTCTCCGATTTCTCGTATGTTGAGGTTTCCAATCGTTCGATCGCTTTTAGGGATCTTCAGATTGCGAATAAATCTTAATACGTATGCGGTTATTCTAACCAATTTACTTAACGGGCTATAATTTTCATTTAGAATAAATATGGTGTTACAACTTGTCTTTGATACATGTATCTAGACGTCCATAGATTTCTCGGTAATCGTTGAAAATGTGTTACAGTATTCAACATTTCGTGTCCATCCTGGACATCCTGCTTTGTTGGCAATCCATTTGGGTCCTTTATCCAAAGTTCATTATTTATCAACTGTTTGAAGTAAGTCCGCGGGTAAGATAATCTGCTGGGTTTTGGTCTGTCGGGCAATATTTCCAATGCAGGTAACGTTTTTGTTGACGATATCCAACACTAATTGACTGTCACTCCAAAAATATGTCTTATGTGGGTCAATTGTGAGTTTGACCATAACGATTCTTTAAAAGTTCAATATCCTTGAAGTAATTTGGGTTTGTCGTGGTGAGGCCTGAAACTACGTTTGCGGCATCTGATTGCAAAAAGGATTTCAAATATGAGAATTTCTGAATGTCGGTTAGTGTGTGGTTATGAATAATTGTGGATTCAAATGAATTCCCGAAATATTGCCATTCTTATATATTTCCGCTAAAATTTGGAAGCGATAACTTGGGTAGGTGATTGTTTTAACTTGAGGTCGAACTTGTTTGTGATAACTCCCGACTGGAATGCATAAATGGATTTGAATGGATTATAAACTCTGGGGCGTCGCTATCTAGTACTGAAAAGAGGTGAAGGATACCAAAGGGACATTCAAACTCATAAGTCGAAACTACTGACAGCGCCATGGCTTAAAAATAAAAAGACAAACAACAGTATACAAAACACAACATAGAAAACCGAAGACTGAACAGCACGAACCCACTAAAAAAGGGTGATCTCGTGGGTGGTAAGCAGATCCTGCTTGGCATGTGGCACCCGTCGTGTTGCTCATGAAAGTACAAACCCGGTAATAAGTCTAATTCGGTAGGTCACATTCGAGGGAAAGGGAACGGGATTGTAGTTACGACAATTGGAACATATCCGTCGTCATCTGTGAAACAGATATTGTATAACGGTCAACCAACTCGTGATGGCGTACGTAAAATTTACGAAGGGATGATTTAAACTTCACCACTTGGAACCCTTGGTTAAATAGCTTCCTTGCGAGCAGCAACCCTCTATCAAGGAAATCATGATAGGAAATACAAGCCCTGGAATATGGTATCAACTGGGAGATATATACTTCGTATGCAGGCGATGCTTGAATGTTGCTACATAGAAATGGAATGTTCACAATTGGGAAGCTGAAATCATCTCTTTTGTCGTAAAGTTTTGTTTTCAACCGACCCTCATCGTCAATTTCTAGATGTAAGTCAAGATATGAGGCAGACTTAACTGTATCTGTTGTATCCTTTGTCGCAAGTTCGATGGGATAGATGCGTTCAACATAGTCACCAAATTTTGAATTATTTTGTTAGAGAACACCATCTATATAGCGGAAAGTGAAATTAAAGGATACCGCTAACTTCTTTTCTTTCTTCCTAAGACGTTCCGTATGAAGTCAGCCTCATATGAATAAAGGAAAAAGTCGGTAAGAAGAGGAGTACAGTTGGTTCCCATACGAATGCCGATTGTTTGTTGAAAAACACGTCCTCCAAACGTAGCAAATATGTTGTCAATCAAGAAATCAAGCATCTTGATAATGTCAGTTTCGTTTCAGCATAGATGTATACATCTATGGTTTCAGAGAAATTTTTGTTTTAATCAGAGTACAATTTATCCCTCCCTTAGACAAGAAACTTGTGTCTACGTAAGCCATTCTTTTTTATTAAACAAAGCATGACCAACTCTTTCAATTTTTCTTTTAGTTTGGAATGGGGAGTACTTGTGTAATGTGTAGAAAAGTCAAATGTTATATAATACTATTGCAAAATGAAAGAGTCTTAAATTGTATGTACTCTAAAAGATCTTTGGAATGTTTTAGTATTCACATCTGATTCACGCCACTTATAGAAAATGTAGTTTCACAAGAACTTTGAAGCCCGGCTTTGATTGCTGATAAAATTGATGTTAATATTTTAGAAAGAGGTTTTGTGGAGCACTTGGAACACCCAGCAATATAACGTTGTTTGTAATGACACATATGTAGTTTAGGTATCCAATACAGTGAAAGAAGATCCAGTTCTTCATCTTTGTTTGAAATTCCAAAGGAACATAGAAAAGACCTATGATTATCCAGGATTTCCTATTTGGTAATTGTCGTGGGTAATATGTTGAAGATGTGGCGGTGGCGACGGGTTTCAAGAATTTTTTGAATTTTCTAACTTTCCTCTCTAACTCTAAATAATACTCATCTGTCTCGATTATCTCATCCGTTATTCCCTCGAGATCTGAATCCACTGTATTTAGTATCTGTTCATCAATATTGGCTAGAGTTTTCTTTTTCTTATTAACTGCCTCCAGCAATGTTGAAATTTTCTCCGGGTCGAAAGGCGTTTCGCCGATGACGTCCTCCAGTTTGTTGAAAACTTTCCTCACCGCTGCTCTGTTCCCCGCTCTCAAAGATTTCAATCGACTGATGTCCATTTTCTCCGTTAGTCACGGCACCAATGTTAGGTTTTGAGTTGTGTACTTAGTGTAGTTACAATTTACGTTCCCGCAATCCTCGACAGTCCGTTTGGTTTCTTTCGCCTCTCTTTTAAAACTTACAAAATTATTAAAAAGATCCAACGAAGATTTGGTTTCGAAATTTGGCTGTACTTGTAGAAATATTATTACAAAAGGGATATCACATCCTAATTTTCATGTTGATGTTACTTACGGAGGTCGTAAATTATGAGACGATCAATATTGTTCCTTTGAATAAACTCATTCTCAAACGTTATTGGTTGCATGATGTCATATTTGTTTTGGATTTATTGTGTTATAAACCATGCTGTTGGTTTTCTCTTTTGGATATTGTTTCACATTTTGTCATCAAGGGGCCTTTAAGCTTATAAACGATATCGGTTTTCCGCATAGTTAAAGGTCTTACAGTGGCCTGTAATTGTTTACATCTTTGTCCTTTTTGGTATCTTTATGAATAGTTGTCTCATTGGCAATTACACAAAATCTCCTTATTCTCAAATGGGTTATGATACGAAGAGAAACGTACATTATAATTTATTAATAATCAAACGTAGGAAAGAACTAAAACAAAACTTAATAAATTTCATTAATTAAATATAACGAACTAGACATAAACTGTTTTACTTCAACGACACAATTATTTTCATTTTAATAATTAAGATGGTTAAAAATAGAATTTTTTAAAAGGTTATATGAAAAACAAATATAGCAGCCCGCACGACACGACTTTCTGGAATAACTTTCACCAGGAACGCTCGAAACTATAAAAGCTTAGATAACTAAATCCATTAAACGTTTGAGAGCATTAAAAATTAAAAGAGCCGTCAATCATTCATACTAATGAAATATAACATACAAATTTGCAAGCTTCTGCTGCATATATAATAATGTAGCCTAAATCATACTAGTAATATATATCTCCGAGACGTTCACAATGCTATTTGTTTAGTATTTCATCAGCAAAGCGTGCCATTTCATTTAAACATTCACACTGTGCTTTGTATATATGTAGGTTGACGATTCGATTGAGGGTGTACGTGTGAAGTAGATTGACCTCTGGAAAAAAGAATACAGGCATACTCTGATTTTGAACACAGACAAGCATTCTTCTAGTTATCCTGTATGCCCAATCGGGTGGTGAGTCCACATCCGGTTCAACAGATGACTGTTCGTTTGAATTATATTGCTCTAAATACTTTTCTAGTTCGTAGAGAAAGCATGATTTCAGCATGTATGTAGTAAGATATTCTACGCTTGGCTCATCGTCGTCGTCTTTGTCCCAAACAGTCGGGAAATATTCGGATTTATGTAATGCGTTCAACAAAATGTACCCTTTTCGTATTGACGGTGTCGTACTTCTTATAATATCGGCTTCGACATCTGCTGTTGATATTCTAAGAAGTATATTCCAATCTCTAAACACCTCCGAGGCAGGAGTTTTGAACACAACTGAATAATTTGGTTCCAAATGTAACTGATTCATTAGATTATTGTGCAAGTTCATGGTATTTGGTAGCCATTTTGTTGGTGCTACAGCAGGAACAATGTCGACCGATATATCAAGATCCTTGAATGATTTACCAGTCCATCGAAAATTTAGATTAGAAATCGAACCTTTGTGTAGATCCAGAAAGGATTTCAGATAAAGATTTGTACTTTTTAGAACATCATTATTTAACAAAGCCAAATTAATGGCTGAATACATACTTCTGACGACCTTCATGCTGTCGATGAAGCCATTTTCATCAACGTATTCTTGTAAAAGTTCACGATTTGCATCATCTTTTAGTTTTAGTTTAACAAAACCTTTTGGAAATTCGGGTAGCTCTATTGGCTCTACGTGCTCGCTAAATCTTAGTAGATGCCATTTGATATCAAATTCGTCATTTTGTCCTATCTTTGTTCCTTCTTTTCTGCTTCCTGACAGCGTAACGTTACACTCAAGTATAGGGTTTTTCATTTTCACATACTGAGCTAGGTTGTTCATAATATTTTCAATAGATAATGCAATATCATGGTTTTCATCAGTGTTGTAGTATAACCCCATGTCACAAGAATCGCGAATTAAACCAGCAAATTTGCAAAAAGCGTCCTTGTGGTCTTGTAAATGTAGTTTCCATTCACTGATATTCAGTTCATGATCATAACATTTCAATATATTCAAATAAGGACACCCACCAAATATGTTTTCTCTGCATATACATTCTCTGTTTTCAAACTTGTTGTCCGTCATACGCTCATGTGTGTGTTGCAAATGGATAATGTTATATGTTTCGTCTTCGGGCTCATTTTGACTTTTATGGAAAGCCTTAAGACAAACGCCAAGCTCGCTTGCATTTGCACCTGCAGACTTATATGTTTTATATGGAGTTATCATTTGATATAACATATATTCATATTTAAGGAATTTGGCATAATCTATTGGATTTTTACCGTCTGAATTTTTAACTACAGGATCGAATCCTTTATTTAAAAGCACTGCAAATGAAGCATTATCCTGATACCATATCGTCCAATGAAAAACAGTGGAGCCAAAATTATCCTGGATGTTGACAATACCAGAACAGTGTTTTTCTAATATAATTTCTAAAATTTCAGGATGTTGACTCGCCATGTGAAATGGTGTTTCTCCTGTTTTCGCTTTTGTCGTTGGATCTGCGCCTATTTTTAACAACATATGAACTAGATGTTTTCTCCCCTTTTGAACAGCATAATGTAACGGTGTCAAACATTGAAGATTACCCTCGTTAACATTTAATCCTCGATTAACAAGAAAATTTACAATTTCTATTAGTTCGTTATCTCTTGATTCGAGTTCGTCGTATTCGCTGTTTTCAATTGGGTCTTCCGGTGGTGACATAATCAAATGAAGTGCAGTGGATCCCATTTTATCTTTTTTTCTAAAATCCATCCCTTTCTGTAGCAGGTATTGTACATGATTCAGTTGCACTTCGTCGGAACACATGATCTGATGGAGTAAACTTTGTCCAAAAACATCCTCCATATTTACATCTAGTCCATACTTCATTAAACAGTCTATCGATTTTTCGAAACCTTCATAATTTGGGTTTTCTGACAAATAATGAAGTGCTGATTCATCATAAATATTTGCGTCATATGGACGTGCTCCGTTTTCCAATAAAAATTCTATTGCTTGGTCACAACATACTGATGCAGCATAAATAAGCGGTGTCATATTGGTTAAAACTTTTATATTCACAGATGCACCCCGCTGCAATAATCGCTGTAAAAATTCCACGCAATTATGATTTTCATTTTTAGATGACTGCACTTCTTCGGAAGGATGAATTACATGTATAAAGTGAATTGGACATTTTCCTTCTGGGTTAGGGGATATAACATCTTTGGAGAGATCAATCAGTTTACTGATTCTTTTATAACATCTACTCTCTCCAATAGTTGTACAATCTTTAAAAAGACTCAAGAGAGCATTTTCACCCGACATGTTGCAAAAGTTCACATCTGCTCCATGATCAATCAAAAGTTCAAAGATTGAAACGTGAACATTGTCGTAGAGAGCCATGAATAGTGGAGTTTTGCCGTCTTTATCGGGAATATTAGGATCAGCCCCATGTCGAAACAAGATATTTACTATTTCTATTTCGTTATTACATACGGCTAAATAGAGAGGTGTTGCATCCATTTCGGATATATTTTCGACGTAATTTGCATTGGCCCCGTCATCTAATAACTCAACAACATCTTTGGTTCTTCCTTCCACAACTGCAGTAATAAGGTTACGCTCTTTACTTTGCATTTTTAATTTAATTTGAATTCAGCTTCTCAAATCTAAAAATCGAAATTGAAATATCTTTAAAAGCAAAACACAGTATAAATATATATATTAAGAGTCTTTAAGATTTTTAAAAGCGTATCATGGAAGAATTCGCTAAGAATTTGTGTTTGACCTTATATATTAGTTAAGTTGTTTACGTTATGATTCAATTCATTGAATGGCGAACTGTCAATTTGTTTTCTTCAACTTATGAGTTTGAATGTCCCTTATGTATCTTTCGCCTCTCTTGAAAACTTACATCCCTCAGTTTTTGTTTGTTACCTTGATTTGTTTTCTTAATCGATTTAATAGATTTGAACATCGATGAACTACTGTTGCCTATAAGTTTATCATAAAAAAGAGTCGGAAGATACCAAAGGGACATTCAAAACTCATAAGTCGCAATAAACTGACAATGCCATGGCAAAAAAAACAAAAAAAAGACGTAGGACGAACAAGTCTACAAAAAACAAAAAATAAAAAACAAAAATCCAGCAACACGCACCCCCCACCAAAATCTGGCTCTGGAATATCGTATTAACTGTGAGATTTATAGTCCATATGCAGGCACTGCTGCAATGTTACTACATAGAAATGGAAAGTTCACAATTGGGAAGCTGTTTTCTACTCGACCGATATTCATTGTCAATATCTAGATATCAGTATCAGTAAAAATAAATTTGGGGTGTGGGGGGGATTATGGAATATATTCAATTTAGTTTGAATCTGATTATATCTATATAATGAACTCCAAAGTATTCTTAAGATAGTATCATATACGGTATATTTCACATCGTAGACTTGTAAATTTTAAATATTTGAAATAACAATAACAATGTCATTAATTTTATTCACTTATGTCTTGTAACAATGATGTATGCACTGTATTTTGAACATCAAAAAGATCAATAAAAATTAAAAAAGAACATATCAATGATATTTCATCTAAATACAACACTGCTGACTACTACTCTTATCTACCTGCTGAAACAAATCATATCCGACGTGAGAACAAGATACACTAGAATTCACCGAGGTTTATGAAAACAGTAGCTACAAAATCGACCAATATGCATTAGAAATATTCATTTTTAAAAGTTAAGAATCAGACAAATTCAAAGGTACTTTTTCAATACCCTGAAATCGCAAAATGTAAAATTCCTCAATCCTATAACCTTTAAAATTCCAGCCAACATTTGTACTAAATTATAAGATAATCAAAAACGACATATTTGACCTAAAATGACCATTTTACTCATAGTTTTTGTCAAGATTTAAATAGAAATAAACCACAGTTTTTTTCAACATTAACGTGTTTGTTATTACCTCAAAACAAGACTTGGATGATTGGACGGGCGCACATATCGAAACACTATTATATATTATACTCCACTGTTTGACACAGTCTGACTTAAACAAAACAAAATGTTTTACGACTTATCCAAGATAAGATTATACCAGTTCCGAATGAGCCAAGTTTAACTCAGACTAAATGGAATCTAGTGTAATACTATGTTCGATACAAACTGAGTCTCATAAGAATCGGATCGTTTCATACTAGTCGAGTATTACAGTTCATTAATACGTATCTGATCTATAAAAAATAGTTTTCATGAATAGAGCAAATACTATTTGATATATGGACGTGAGACAAACATTTTTTCTCAAACATAACATAGAATGAAAATAAGACTTTATAAATGTTATGAGTCCGAAACGCTTCTCTGGATTTACCTTCATCAGGAACGCTCAAACACGAAAATACTTGAAAGCCTAGGATCCACAAATACTTCAATACTTTGGAGCTTTATGACCAAATGGACATACAAAAATAGCCAAATCCACAAAAGGTCAACTCTGCACGAGGTAGTTGAAACACAGCTGACTAAAGTTGTCGTCAATTTATTTCCTTTAGTCAGCTGCAGTTGAAACCATATAGTTTCTAAAAGAATTTAAATTAATCAACGGAGAATTAAAGAACGGTATGGTATTAATCGTATTATTGATGAAGCACTAACTTATGAGCTGAAATTACCGTCTGTGACTACCAGTCCGTCTGCAGTGGTATCGACTAGAGCTAGAAAATGAAAATAACACTTAAATGAATTTTGCGCTTTCGAAGCGCTTTTCTGGATTTACCTTTTTAATGGTCGCTCAAACCCAACAATTTGAAAGCCACGGATGATTAAGTACTTGAGTACTGAAGCTGCAATATGATCAAAGGAGACCTCAAGAGAAAAGACAAATCCGCCTAATGGAGTTGGAACCTTAGTCTTAATAATTTCTAAATTTATCAACGGAGAATTTACGAAAGGAATGTTATAAATCAAACGACTACTAAGCTGACGATAACGCTCGGCGACCAGCAGTCCCCCGGCAATAGTATTTATATTTATCGACTTAGTACTTGGAAATTTTGGTGGGTATTTATTGTGTATCACATTGGATATTTATTTTGATATGTTATGAATTTCCTAAACAGCAATATAAATTGCTTACTTACCAAAATGTTTTAAACAGTATGCATGAAGTTCCTGGTTAACTTGAATGGTTGATTTACTTCTTTTGTAAAAGTCAATGGCAGAATGTCAAGATTACCTGTACAGTTTGTTTCTTTAAAAACTGTTTTAGATATTAAATAACCCTATATATAGATTAAAGGAAGTGAATTCATGAAATACCATTATATAAGTATTGAAAAAGTAAAGGACACATAGATGGTGTTTTAGAGACAGATATGTGTTTTTTTACTTCTTAAACCACTCGGCAACTGAGGCCCTGAACTGTTACTACAATTCCGTTCTCTTTTCCTCGAATGTGACATCACTGAACTAGACTTATTATAGAATTTGTACTAACATAAGCAACACGGCGGGTGCCACATGTGGAGCAGGATCTGCTTACCCTTCCACGGCAGCTAAGATCACCTCCGGTTTTGGTGCGGTTAGTGTTGCTCAGTCTTTAGTTTTCTATGTAGTTGTTTGTATACTGTTAATTGTTTGTCTTTTGGTCGTTTTTCGTTTTTTGCTATGGCCGCTGCCAGTTTTTCATCGACTTTTGAGTTTGAATATCAATTTGGTATATTTTCCGCCTCTCTTTTTGTATCTGAGACCTGAACTCGAACTTAAACTTAATAGAAGTAATATGAAGCGTAAAAAATATGGTTCGAGGAATGTAGCTTTATTGTGGTGGCTTTCCTACTCAATTAGATTCCCCTCATGCAACTTAAATATGAAAGGCCACTTAGTGCAAGAGAACTGAACTTAAGTACAATTTAATCAGAAATTAATGAAGCGTAAAATAAAAACCACTATGCTGTGAAGGATGGGTATTCTGACATTACCTTTATATTAATAATATTTATATAGCAAATTATATGGTTGTATGTCCATTGATTCTCGTTTTTAAGAGCTGGCTGTTGTTATTGACAGGGATGTTGAGACAAACTAATGTAAAATACTAATGAGTGGAAGGAAAGGGTGCATGTTGGAATATTCAACTAAGAACAATTGTAACCCGGTTGAAAACAAAACTTAACGATAAAAGAGATGAATTTAACTCCCAAATTTTGAACTTCCCATTTCAATGTAGCAACATATCAATGGAGCTTGCATAAGGAGTTAATATCTCCCTGTTGGTACGATATTACAGAGCTAACATTTTCAATCATAATTTCCTTGATACATTGTTGCTATTTACAAGGAAGCTGTTAAACTAAGTGTTCCAAGTTGTTAAGTTGAAGTCAAGATCTCTTCGAAAATTCTACTGATACCATCACGTTTTGTTCAACCGTTATGGAATATGTTTCATAGATCACGGCCGATATGTTCCAGCGGTCGTCACGGCAATCCCATCCTCTTTTCCGTGAATGTGAAATCAACCAAATCACCAAAGTACTAACAGTAGCAACACTACGGTGTGCCACATGTGGAGCAGAACAACTTATCCGTCCAGAGAACCTGATATCATCCCTGGTTTTCGGTGGGTTAGTGTTGCTCATTTTTTGAGTTTTCTATGTTGTATTTTGTAGATTTGTATTGTCTTTTCGTTGTTTTTTTTTTTTTTTTGGCCTTGGAATGGTCAGTTTATATTAGACTTATGAGTCTGAATATCCCTTTTTTTCAAAGGATCAAAGCAAATGAGCACCAGTATCTTAATTAAGACATCTCAAAATACTAGTGATCATTTGCTATGATATTGTATTGCTTAATTATAGATAGAAATCTCTAACAGCACTGAATATGGCAGGAAGAAATTGCAAATAGTATAAAAAAAAGAAGATGTGGTATGATTGCCAATGAGACAACTCTCCAACAGAGACCAAATGACATAGAAGTTTACAACTATATATCACCGTACTACCTTCAACAATGAGAAAAACCCATACCGCATAATCATCTATAAAAGGCTTTCATGTCGATCCGGCCCCACGTCGATCCGGCCCAAGTCGATCCGTCCCACGTCGATCCGGCCCATATTTAAAGTCGATCCGGCCCAATAAAAAAATATATTCATAAGGAATAAAAATAAAGATATATATTAATTGTAATTCATAAATGTTTATGAATTTTATTAAAATGTAAAAGGTGTACGCAAGGATTTGTATAGTGAGACTATACAAATCCTTGGTGTACGGTAAAAAAAAAAAAGGCCTATGACAAATATTTTCTTCAGATGAGTTTAAAACAACTATGTTGATTATGTTTTCATTACAAGTTTTCAAGATTAATGGATATAATTATAATAAAAACGTATATAACAGAATTTAGTACAATCAACAGACATCAACATTAATCAGCAGTAATTAGCATTTCTTTCAATTGACTGTGATCTTAACAAGTTTTTCATCCTGTGTAATAACAAATAGTTACATACACGTCGGTACAAGCCGATCCCCAAGCTGATACATACAAACTTTGTTTTTGTTTTAAGTTCTTATAACTTCTCAAATGGCATCAAACTCCACTTCTACAAGATGGTTCCAGCGCTCATCAAGGAAGCCAAAACTGTTTCGAGGCAAATGCGTCTGGTAGATGAACAGAGTCTTGCCCGTTGGCAACGCACCAAGTATCAACGGTCACAGGGACGCCTCGCTTCACTATGGGAGCAACGTCAAGACGGTACCATCACCACCTCCTTCTTCCTTCGTGCCGTCGGACACATGTACGACATTCCTGTGCCAGACCCAGAACCAGAAGAAGACACTGACAGCGAGTGATTTAATTGAAATTAAGTGAACTGTATGACTTGTTTTATGTTAGTGCATATGTGGCTACAATCTATATGTTTATATAACATTTATTTATTAAATGCTTAATGAGTATTCTTTGTGTTTAGAATAATATAGTGCGTTTTTTCTTGGTGAGCTAATCAAATTGAACAGTTATATTGCTGTTAGTTGTTCTATATATTATATATGTACTGCGTATGATAGTTACTGTATATGTTATTGTAGTGCTGCAAGTGTGACCCCTTTTATATTATGTAAGTGACAGTGTAACTGTTAGTGTAAATGATTTAAGAGTTATATACATTTATGTGAGTGTCAGAGATAGTGTGTTTGTTAGTGTGTACGAATTTATTGTTATATTATAGTAATGCTGATATTATATTTTAGAGAGTGAAAATGTGCATTCAGTGTAATTATTTTGTTATTATCTTGCAATAAAGAATAATGGATACTCATATAACTTGTTTTTCTACACACAACTATTCAAAATATTGTCAAACTTTAAAAAAAAAATATTGACTATATTCGATATTACAAAAAAAAAAACATGTATTATAGAAGCCTCTGATGTTACCTGAAAAAAAATACAATTAATTATTATAACACATAACACCAAACAAAAGATCAAACTATAAAGACCTTGTTGATTACGTAACTTTAATCAATCAGGATTTGATTGAATTAAGTGATTACGAGTGGCATTACCTTAGTTTACAATCATTAGACAATTGTTGAATAAACAAACCAATTATAGACTAATGATTTGATTAAACAAGTCATTATGATGAGTTAAATTTTATAGGTTCCATTGGACTGTAAATATTTATTTAGCTATTCTGTGTGTGAATCAAATAAAATAAAAATCGCCATGACATTCAAAGTTGTCATGGAAAAGAACTTCATATTAAAATATGTTGGAAGCTGCTTTACAAACAGACACAATCACACTCATTTTCGTATCGATGTAAAATAATTCTTTGACTGGTACTCCAATACTTCACTTACCTGTTGTCATCCATAAACGATACCCAAAATGACAAATGTAAAACAAACCGGAGAAAACTAACTGCCTGATTTATGTACAAAACAATGAACGAAAAACAAATATGATATACAGCAACAAACGACAACCACTGAATTACAGGCTCCTGACTTGGAACAGGCACATACAGAATGTGGCGGGGTTAAACTAGTTTGTTGGTGCCAAACCCTCCCCCTAGCCTGGGACAGTGGTGTAACAGTACAACATAAGAACAAACTATAAAAAACAGTTGAAAAGGGCTAAACTCATCAGATCTGTACAAAGCAGAAAAACATCTACCACAAGTGAAACTGCGAGCTACTGCTCACTGATGATACCCCAGCCCAAATACTTGACGGTAAACAAGAAGTTGTTGAGTGATGAATCTGAAAACGCATCACACGGTATAGCTGACATCAGGGACGTTTCTAGGATATTTGAAAGAGAGGACGTAGAATAAAATATTTTGGACCTTTTTTTTGCTAAAAAACATAAAATAATTGTGAAATGCACTAATGTAACGTTCCTGACTTGGAGCATGTATATTTTATAGTTAAAGTGTCAGGGTTTGACATTTTTTATGCCGAATTCTCTCTATTAATTGTCTATGGTATATTAAAATGATTGGATGGATCTTAACAGCAGTAGACCAATAACGAGAAATTCCAAATTCTAGGGTATAAGGCGTTACTTAACATTTCCTAGGCCAGGATTTTATGAACGGGAGGCGTAATTACGGTTGTCCTGGTAGAGGGTCCATGGGGAAGCTCAGAAGCTCCTGGATTTCAACAATTTAGCATCAAATTATGAAGTAGCCAGACTGATAAATATCTCTCTATTTTAGATTAAGTTCTGGTTTCGTTGAACGACACACATAATGCAAGACAAACAAACACTGAAGTATAAAGTTCTTTCGTTCTAAATAGTGAAGGCTTTAATGTGGAATACATGGTTGAATATGAAAAAATGACGTCATTGTACTACAGTACTAAATTAAAGCAATCATGTCACTGTCTAGTTCCGATGGTGGTATATGGTACATAAATAAATATGGTGCTTGAACTTCATGGCAAAATGTAGGTCAATGTCACTTAGTTACTCACTAATGCAAGGATATTGAAACAATATGATACTACCAAAGGCTATCCAGATGGGAAGTAAAAATGCTATACCAAATATACATGTTACTTGTATAAATGTACCTTAACACAAAACCTAAAATGAACACAGAAATACTGACGTACGCCCATTATGCCCTCACCTGGACCCGCCCCTGGGTCACTTATTGGAAAAAAATATATTTCAGGGTCTATAACTGAAAACAGGTTGACAGATGTTTCTCCAATTTTAAGGGTGGATACATTTTGTTGTGATGATCATTTTTGCATTTACACTTTTGAATTAGTTCCTCCCGATTTAAAGATAATAGTCGAAAATTGTGAAAAATGGCAAAAACTTACATTTCAGGGGCAATAAATCCATATTATCCATTTACAGTCTTCATATTTTTCTGATTTTTTTTCAGATAACTTGCCATGCTGATAATTTTTGCATACATTATGTTTAAGCTAGCTCCAATAGTTTTCAAAATTAATAATAGCCAAGAACTGCCCAAAAAAGTCGAAATCCAACATTTCAGGGCCAATAACTCCAAAATGAGTGTACAGATTTTTTTCTAAACTTTTCAGTGTAGATAAAGCTTGTTGTATTGACCGATTTTACTCATATTGTTTTCCTCTTATTTGCTATACTTTTTAGGATATTAGCCAAAAACTAGACGACAGACAACATACACAAAGTGATGGCTAAAGCTAACATTTCCCTTTGGGCCAGTTGAGCTAAAAAGTGAGTGTGTTCAAGAATACCAAAACTTTTTCATTGCTGTCGATACCACTTGTGTGTGTGCAAGTTCCATGGTGCAAAAAAAATCTGGCATACTTGCTCAAATTCTCGAAATACCCCTATGAACATCGATTTAGAATAAAAGAATTAGTAAAATGAAACCAGTAATTGAAGAAGGTGATTTAAGAAGTTTAAAACTGACAACCAGACAGTGAGCTGTAGTTGTTTAAATCGTTCTTTGCTCTCTGGTTATTTACTTATGTCTGGTGATTAGCTGATAATGGCAATAAAACCAGATCTCCTATTTTATATTCACCAGAAAGAAGCTTAAGAGAAAGTTGAAAGCATATATATCTCCTAGCTGCTGTTTCGTTCTACTTAATATTACATTGATTTATAACTGTAAAGATGAGTGAAGTGCTTTAAAAGAGGACACTTTCATTTATTTAATAAAACAATTTTTCAATACGGATGAATTGGTCCAATTGGAATAAAAAATGTGAAAAATAAAAACTACTTGCTTTATAAATAATTCAAAGAAATCTCATTCCAAAATTTGACCGAAAGTTGGTCATAATTAAAGGTAATATTTTAAATCATTGAGGATATACGAGATTGATAGATCTTAATATAGTTAGAGCCATAACAATCAAATATCAACATTCAAAATCTGGCATAATAAACTTGTGAAAAATGTCCAAAAAAATATTGCAATGTGAAGGATAATGAAAAATTGTACTTTGTAGATGTATTATTCACAAAACATTTCTAGAAATAACAATTAATTAATTGAAGTAGAGCAGAATATATTGGTACAACGCTGTGCCAGCATTCTGAAGATTCATAGGTATAAGAGCTACAATTTCATTTCTTGAAATTTTCGGTTGCAAAACAACTTTTAAAAAAATAACGCATTCATGGAACTTTATGCTATAACAAATTACACCTGTCTATGTTTAACCATAACTAACATTCTGATATAGAAATATACAAGTAGGAAATTATTGTCAGTACAGGTAAGTATTAAAGATCTTGAAATTTACAAATCATTTTGTTCAAAATATTATGGATATAAATCAATATGCTCTTATTTATAGGGGCATTATCTGCTAGATATAAAAAATTTAAATATGACTTTTCTTTTTTGTTCAGTCATTAATGAAAGTGGTATAGTGAAGTAATAATTTGCTTTTAGCAGCCAATTTGGTTCAATTTTGTAAAAATAAGCTAAGAAACATCGCTGATGAATTATTCACTTGTAAGTAAATAATTCGACCTCATTGAATCCGTATTCATGTGACCTTCAATTTAACCCCTTAGCTGGAGATAGGTTATGCATGTAATGAATTCGGCTATTTAAAGGAAAAGAATGCCAACATTGAAAGTGAAACATGGATGAACCATTTGGTTGACTGATTCCATCAACAAAAAAATCATTCTTATACAGATAAAAACGATGATAAACATACATGCAATATGAAATCAAACAGACCTAGAGCAAGAGGCTGTCAGAGTGACAGCAAACCGGATTTTCCTGCATGAAAATGATATGCAAATCTGGACCCCCAAACAGGATCAAGTAAAAAAAATAAATGAATTTTTGTAGGGTTCAGAAATGGGGAGGCCAAAATCAATCTTAGTATCACTTTTCCCTACATAAAGGTCAACAACTCAATAACGATAAAAGCTAAAATAGTGAAAAAATCGTGAAAATCGTCAAAGCTTTATCAAGTTTTTGCACGGACAACGCTCTTAGGTATCACTTTTCGCTACTGAAAGATCTACAACTCAACAACAATAAAAGCTAAAATCGTGGAAATCAAACTTGACCTTCATTTAGTCACAGGAAACAACATATCTAAATTTGAAAAGATTTCGTCAAAGCGTTTTCAAGTTAATAAACGGACACTGTTTGGCAGCCGCCGGCCGTATAACCCCAAATCAATAACCGATTTTTCCTTTGGAAATCCGGTTAAAAATTCCAATTGCAAATGGTCCCTATCTGTTTATATTTATATATATGTTTATATCGGGTATTATGACAGTCAGCAGTCATTGAAGGTCATCTCGATGATTAATTAGATGATGTCTGGACAAAAATACACACGAAATATTGATACATATTATTGAGTCCATGCATTGTTAATGGTTTAATTTTTACTTTTTGTAATTTGGATATACATTTTAGTATGTTATAAATCAAATATGAGAATTTGAGTCAAATCAGTGAACATGAATTTAATAGCTAATGCCCCTTTAAGCATATGCACCCTAAGATTGAGATATAATGTATAATCCATGTCGTTCTTTCAGGAATTTTGGTTTTTCAATGTCACTGGGTTGCTATCTCATTGACATATACCTGAAATTTCCCTTTATGTTTATTTATTTTTCTTGACAATACTGATAAGACAAATTTAGCTATGTATATAATTCTAAATCATCAAAGATTCTTGTAACAGTATAAAAGATAAAATTGCAATAAATAATCTGTTGACGAAATGTCAACTTCAAAGATAACAAAAAGTAGACAATAAAAATAATCTAAATGTAAAGTCAAGAAATATATATAGAAAATTCATTTCAAATAAATAGACACCAATTAAATACTCCCTTGATGTACTGGTTAGGTGTAATAAGAGGTACATGTACAAACAACAGAAGTCCTAAATTTTGTAAAGTAATTTAAGTCAACATCAAAGTCGTTTCTTAAAATCTTCAATCATTGTCCTCCAAGTTCCATCTGTCCAATTGTCAAGGCGTAATTTTTCTCCTTTAACTTTCATACTTTGGTTATGTGAAGCAGTAAACACAACATGTTTCCATGAAGGATGATTCATTGCACCTAAAAACATAAAAAATCAAATGAAGTTAATCTGTTAGATTTTAAAGTTTTAAAATTGATGCAAACAATCATTAAAAGATCAATTGGGCTTGCTTAAAAGATTTTAATATACTTTTTGTTTATATATAATTATAAAGTGAACTCTTTTCTTTTTTTTTAAATTGTGAAAATATGATTTATTTTTTGTGAAAAATTTCTTCATTGTCTTCAGTTTTAAAAAAAAACAACTTGAGAACATTTTCCACTTTACAGTGTTAACATGAAAAATATCAAAGGGCTATTTTAATACTGTTGAATATAAGACTTCTATATTTTTGACATAAATCTTTTCATACAACACACAGAACCATCTCCATTTGAATATTCAATGGTAAAAAGTTATATTAAATATATTAAAATGTGCATATTGTGTAAGAAATCATAGAATAAATATCAGAGACATCAAACTCAAATGCAGGTGGTAAGAAAATTTGAACTTCTAGAGGTCAAGTTTGTTGTTTCCAATGATGAGCATGTACACTGAACATCAACTATTATCAATGAATTTTATGATGTACCCATTTTTTCAGTTCAAATGTGTAAGTGAAATAAAAAAATCAAAACTCAGGTTGTATCATTATGTACTTATGTAAAAAGAATCTGGAGATACAGAAAATAACAGGCTATTATTTAAACTTGGAATTATTTTTAAGTATGGAATTTGAATTTCTTGTGCTTGAAATTTTTAATAAATCCCATGTTTATTCTGTATTATAATGTTTTGAGCGGTGCATAACACTTTCCATACAATGTCTTTTGTATAGATAGTGTTGTGCGCCGGACAGTACATTCTATTGAAAATGTGCATTCTTCTTTGTAATAGAAAGTGTTGTGCGCCACACAGAACATTAAAATACAGAATAAACATGGAATTTATTAAAATTTTCCAGCACAAGAAATTATGCAAATTCCCAAATTAAAAATAATTCCAAGTTGAAATAATAGCCTGTTAAATATTTTCTTTAAGCCTGATGACATCTGTAGGTATGGGTGCTTTTTCTTCATATGATCACATATGCAAAATCCAAGAACAGAAAAGCCAGTTGGTGTAATAATTCAATTATATGTAAAACCAATGAAAACTATGAACAGTATATCAACCTATCAAATGCAAAAACACACATTCTTCATCAAAATAAAACAAACAAGAATGTGTCCATAGTACACGGATGCCCCACTCAAACTATCATTTTCTATGTTCAGTGGACCGTGAAATTGGGGTCAAAACTCTAATTTGGCATTAAAATTAGAAAGATCATATCATAGGGAACATGTGTACTAAGTTTCAAGTTGATTGGACTTCAACTTCATCAAAAACTACCTTGACCAAAAACTTTAACCTGAAGTGGGACAGACGGACGGTCGAAAGAACGGATGCACAGACCGAAAAATATAATGCCCATAGGTGGGGCATAAAAAGAGTGATCCTACATGTATGCTCAATGAAACCATACCATATAAAAATAAGGAGATGTGGTACGGTTGCCAATGAGACAACTATCCACCAGAGACCACAGGATGAGGATGTGAACAACTATAGGTATCTGTATGGCCTTTAACCATGATAAAAAGAACATATATCATTTGGTAAGCTATAAAAGGCCCTATCATGACAAAATATGATTTTTTTTTTAAAGAATCATAATTTAAGCAAAGAAGAGATCAGAACAACCCTAATACTTGTTTTTTATCCAAATTTACTGTTGAATAGTTGTGCACAACGATATTAATTTAAATCAAAACCAAAATTTGTTTATCACGACAACCAAAAATAATGCTGAGAACAATCAAACAATGTGTTCTTATAAAAATCAACCAATTAAAATAACCAAACCAAATGTTGTTTATTTAAATTAACCAATGAAAAACTTAGAACATCCACGTCATCAAAAATGATTTCAAGAAATGAATATTTCTGCACATAATTTGTGAAGAATTATAGTAAATGTGTATAGAGATTCCTGATGCAGAACATACCTGTTATATGAACCTTGTCATCTATCAAAATATCTCCATTAATCATTGTTTTGTCTCTTGTTAAAATCAGTCGATTAATCCAATCTGGTCCTAAATGTTTCTCTACCCATTCATACTGTAATGTAAGACTTTCATAGGTTAACTGCCTGCAAATGTCATTCAAGTGGGAGGTTTAACTAGCTATAAAACCAGGTTTAACCCACCATTTTCTTCGGAGAATGCCTGTACCAAGTCAGGAATATGACAGTTGTTTTCTATTTGTTCTGTTGGTTCATAAAGTCTAACGTTTGATTTTGTCAGTTGTATTGGACTTCCCCTTTTTGAATTTACTTTGGAGTTCGGTATTTTTGTTATAATTTTTTTATTAGATATTGATCTTTTACAATCTACTATTTGGGTTTAACGTAAATCCCTCTTTATCCATATTGCAACTGGACACTGTGCAAACAACAATCAATAAATCCATTTTTATCCATTTCTGATCAGAATCATTTTTTAAGTTTGTCTTTCTGTTACAAATTTAAATTTGTAGAGAAGTTTTATAGTAAAATTGATCTTCAAATCTTTTAAAAGAAAGACAAAACCTAGTAAAATAAGTCATGCATGAAAAAAGCAGTGTACTCACTTTTTCTGGTGCACTGTACTTGTACTGAAATAGTGGACTGGAACAAATGAAAACTTCAACCCTGAAAAATAAATTCAAGTAAAAAGTTCTCAATTCTTTGTATAACAAATAGTTCAGATTTTTCTTCCTGAGTTATCAGCTTATCTTTGACAATCATTTAATACAGAAGCCATCAGTCTCAAACCTGAAAAGTGTAGTCAATTATAACAACTAATCTAGGGAAGAATTTCTTTACCTCTGCAAGTATAAAGTTGATGATATATGTTCAGTATGAGAGCTAATTTTTAATTCGTGTCAGTGTTGCTCCATCATTAGATTTCTGATTGTTTTGTGGACGGTTCCTTAATTTTTTTGTTATGCAATGGTGTTGTTTTTTATAATCTTTATTACATACCATTTTGATGTCTTCTTATTTTTCAAGTTGTATATTTGAAGCAACGTCAATTCAGGATTGTTTTATATTATCTGACGATATTTACTTGGAGCAACTTTCATTTTCAGATAAAGCTCGGGGTAGATTTATTTGACAAAAAACATAAATAGAAGTATAATTAAAACTTTTACTTTAGAAAATGCAGTAACACAGTTTTGACAGCATGACCTTCAAATCAATTCCATGATATGCCTCCTACAAACAGGCAACTAGAAGATCTATCAAACTAGCATTTATTTTGAATAAGAAACAGTTTAACAGTTCAAAACTGTTACAGGAAAACAACATCTTTTTTAACATTGGCTCAATATCATAAAAAAAACCAATTGCTTTGTTTCTTATAAGTAATTCACATAAACCTTCAAAGTTAGTGAGATGTAGGGTATAAGTCAATGAGACAGCAAATATATACATTACTAACATTGGGTCAATACCTCTGCTGGTGGACTTAGTATGGGCTTTGCTCATAGTTGAAGGCCGTACGGTGACCTATAGCTGTTAATTTCTCTGTCATTTGGTCTCTTGTGGGGAGTTGTCTCATTGGCAATCATACCACATCTTCTTTTTTATATTTAGTGACCAGGGGTATCACAAGCCCAGTAGCCAGCACTTGGTACTGGCATGGAAATATGGATATTGTTTGATTTAAATTTGCTGTTATAAAATTTTGGAAATCATTTTAAATTAAGGAATATATCTTCTTCAAGCAAAGCTCTGATTCTGAAATGTACATCTGGTGCAGTAAAATTGGTACCGTTAATGTTATCAGATATAAAATTGAGAAAAATATATTTCTTACCCTTCCATTTCTGCCATTTCCTTGACAGCTTCACATCCACCATCTATTTCTGGTAAATCACGAAAAAAATATTCATTCCTGTAAATCTTCTTTAATTCAAACTATAAAACAAATAAAATGTTAATCCTTTTAACAACAGACTTTCAGTCTGCAATTGTATTATTAAATATGAACTTAAATTCAATGCATTAATTTCAATTACAAATTATCTACCTTTTGAATATGAGTTAACAGAATATTTCATGTATGTTCAATTCTACTGCAAGAACTACTGCAAAATCTCTGATCCTGAACATAAATTTGACTGTAATTTAGTAATGAAGACAACAAAATATTGAAGCCTTCATCGCACATCAATATGTTGCATGTTCATACTGACTTTGTTACTGCTATCAAGGCAACATAATAAGATTAAATTAAAATAATGTTAGTAGATGTCTATGTCTTAATACAGGAATCACTCACTCTAACACTATCATCTGTAAAATTCAGTTTATCATACTGATCTGCAATATAAAATGTGTTTCTTTTTTCTACTGGAATGTATGGTTCATTAGGATATTTTTCTCTAAACTTGAACATGAAATGCTTCTCAAATGCTGCTAAAGTCTCATCAAGATCTATCAAAACCATCAACGTTCTTTGTGCCAAACTTCCTATTCCTCTCTTTGCTGCCATTGTATACTATGAATTATCACACTGTATCAGTCTGTAAATACAGGTTGACACTAGAAGGCATGGCTACATCACATCTTTGGGATTTTCAATGTTTTATTTATTTCTCTATTTTATAAAAATGGTAGAAAAAATTTATCTTCAAACCACTGACTGCTAAGAACATCTCTATTAAAATAATACTTTGAACCTTCTGTGAATATTTAAATTTTTTTTTAATCTACTATTATTCAAAATCATTTCATATGTTATGACTCATCACATGTTTATGTGTCTGTTCAAAGTCAGCAACCTTCCAAATGTTATTTCCCCATGTGTATTAAATGTGTTGGTTTTTTTTTTGTCATATGGTAAATTTGGTATTGTCGATGATCTTTTATCAACAACTGTTTTTGACTTGAGCTTGACATTTTTTTTTAGATAAGGCCACCCTTAACAAATTCTTTGTTTGATGTTGCCTACCCATACCTTGTAGAGGTGGGTAGGTAGGTAGGGATTTTTTTTTTTCAACAACATAAGTTACATGTTTTAGACAAGAAAACAATGTTAGAGTAGGAAAGAACTTTTGAATCGATTTGTGTGATAAAATTTTCAGGTAGGCTGCTTTTTAAGCTGGTAGGTAGGCAACATCAAACAATTTTAATTTTATTTTTGGTCTAACTGTCTGTTGCTGCAGACTGTATTTGGTCTTTATGTGTTATTGGGTTGTTTCTTTGATGTGTTTATACTAACATTTCATTTTATTCATATTGAAATGGAGCATTTTGAAAGAAACCCCATTTTGTTATGGTTTATTGTTAGAATCCAGAGAATTGAATGTATGAAAAAATGTTACTGATATATTCTAACACAAGGCCTAGGGCTTCCAAAATAGCAAAAATTCATTATTAAAGGCTAGTATGATTAAACAACTCTGAGAGATCTACAGTAAATAAAATTGGAATAAGTGTGCATAACCTTGCAATTGAGAAAGGCAGACATCATTCCCCTTTCAATGAAAGGAGAAGCAATGTGTGCAAGTTTGTGGATATAGAGAATGAAACTCAGTTTTTTTAATTCATTATGGGGATTATTCTGACTTACATATAATAATAGTCTTTGAAAATAAATTTCAAATATACTTCAAAGACAGATACTTAATCACTTATATGACTTGACTTTTAAAAATGTCAAGCTTTCCTTCAACTATAGATGTCATTTGTGATTATTGGAGAACATATTTTTACTTTTAGTGTGAAAAAAATAATCCAACCAAAACTAAATAGTGTCAGATTTACTGAACCTGACTACATGTACTGTATACATGGAAAGCTGTCTCAGTAAGGGGGGATTACTTAAATACATGAGTTTTTTTCCAGAATTATTGCAAATAGAAGTTATCTACATTTATTTCAAGTTTGAATTCACTCAAAAGAGTAGTACATTTGATTTACTAAAATAAGTGATTTCATATTAACAGTTTGTGTACCTTTTCTCCAAGATTTAAAGTATAACTGTTCTATTATAGATAAATATCTGAGATTAACAAATAATCATGATAAACATTCACTGGTATATGGATCCTGAAGTAAACGTCACTTGGTTGAGTAGTATATATACTACTGTACTATCCTTTTCTATTAAAAAAAACCCAACTTTTTGAGATATAAATTTTCTGCTGACCCATAATATTTTCATCACCTGAGTACACTAAAATTTTGACAGAGAACAGTCTCATAACACTATTTTTATATTACATAAGCTCAGAGCTGAAATATTGAAGTTTTGAGGAAATATACAGGAAAATTCTAATAAACTTGATTAATGAATTTATAAAAACACCTACATTTGTAATGTCACAATGCAAAAATGCTGAAAAAGGAGTACAACATGAGCACAGTGGGTGTTATTTATAAAAAAAACAAGACTTGATTTTTCCTTTTCAACAATACATTTTGTGAAAAAAACATGGGAAAGGTACATTTTGTGAGAAAAAAATGTATTAATTGTCTTATTGGCAATCATACCAAAGCTCCTCTTTTTTATAATGTAACATTTTTATATCTTCCAATTTATTCCTTGATGGCCTGTATGATCCTCCATACTTTTTTAGAACTGCCCCAGCTGAACTGTCTTGACAGCAGGGACTTCAACCATGCAATTCATGGTCCATAAACTCTTCTCAGATGTGTGTTATGAAATTATGGCAACTTTAATGGCCTTTTTAGAGTTCGGAAAAACATGAAAAGTAGCCAAAATCAGGTGGGGGTGGGAGTCTTTTGATGGCCACTACGTTACTGGTATGGGCTGTAGTTATTAACTATTATCATAAATACATGCATAGGTGGAACAGGAACACAAGTGATTTAAAAAGTTGTTTCAGTTATATCCCTAACTTTTATCTTATCAAAGATGTGTAAATATATGGTAAGATGTGTGTAATAGCAAGAAAATTAATTTAATGTAACCAAAATCTTGCAAATCTGAGTAGAGAAAAAAATGAAATCCATGGATTATAAGGACATCAGAACCAAAAACTGAAAGATCTGATTTTAATCAGATTTATCATAATCTTCAGTTCTGGTAAGATCAGCATTTCTTAAGTTTTATTTCTCAAAGACCCCATTGGCCCAATAGGGATTTGTATGACTTAAAATACAAAAACGTAATGCAGTGAACAAAAACAAGATTATAAACATCCCTTAACATATATACAAAAAGTAGTAAGGTTTAAGTAAGACAGCCAAATCGAATTGGACATGTTAGTTAACAACTGCTCATACTTGTACACTTCTACAAATCTTAAACCGATTTTGTAGGAGTCGGTATAATTTATCAGTATTATATTTGATATTGTTTGTAAGGTAACAATTATTTTCATTCATTATTGAAAACGGTACAATCATTATAAGTAATGCTATTCATCACCTAAAATATTTTTATCACAAATTTAATATACTCTGTTGTCACATTCAACACAAAAATAATGCCATTTTCAATAGGAGGCTTATGATGAGACATCTAAAATGACAAAGTGCTTTCCTTTAATCATCTGGTTAATTCAGTAAATAGTTTGAAAAAAAAAAAAAATTCTTTAGTTACAACATTTTGGTGAATCCAAAACAATTATTACCCATTACTGCTTTAATTGACCACATCATTTCTGCTTGACATTTTTTTATGAGCATATAGCTTTAAGTACATTTTGTGCAATTCAATACTCAGAAAATCCTTGTTCATTTAAATTATTCTCAAGACAGCATATGAATTTTGTATGAAAAAATCTGTTCAATGCAACATGGCAAATATATGTATCTTGTTTGTTTATTACAAACAAGACTTTTCCTTCCACAGATCTTGGTATCATTCTGTTTTTAATAAAATATTATTAACTTGAAAAGGTATCTGCCTTAATCTCAATAAATGCAGCTAAAATATTTTATAAAACTGTTACACGAGCATAGATGTTCTCAAAACCCTACACTTCACAGCCTTAAAGCTGCGAAACCCATATCAAATATTGAACTATTAAAGGAGCAAATCATTGTGAGAAGAGGACACGGCTAACAGTGTGTCTACTTTGAAGGCCTGCCACAAATTAATTCAGATAGCAAAGGTTTGTGTGTCTATGATGAAAGAGAGGCATAAGAAAACAAAGAAATATTCAAACTATTAGTCGATAGCAAAATGACAAAGCCATTGCAAAAAACTCAAAATGACCAAAAGACAAAAAAAACAGTACACAAAACAAAACACAGAAAAGTCAAGACCAGGCAACAACAAACCCACAAAAACAAAAGGTAAAAGTTATCTGTTTTAATGGACTAGACAGCTGCAGAAAAGAAAAATAAAGAAAATTTGAGACAGAATGCCATTTCATGAAAATGCAAGTTGAGTAAATTGTGTTATATCAATGTATATAGGTAATGAAAAATTCAAAGATTAGTGTCTATGGTTAACATGGATCTTTATATCCTGATAACATACACCTTATTGCTATTTATCCGCCATTAGGCCAAAAAAAAATATATGTCTGTTTTATATGGTTAACCAACCGACCCTACTTTTGAGCGCCAACCCTAAGTCATTTTATTTCAGTCGTAAAGTGAAAAATAAACTGAACTCGTGTCAAAAGCGAAGTTAGTGTTGCAAATAATATAAATCAATTGCCTGATACATCCCAATATTCACAATCGTGAATATGCCAGCTGTTTTAAGGAAATTCTCAACTCGTGTGATGAAATAAACACTTTGCAGCCATTTTTTTCCAACCAATTACCAAGGGAAATGATCCAATCATTAAAAATAGGAGTAAACTCAGCCCATGATCAACCCGGACCACGACAAGACGAAACGGCATGACTCAAAATCATGTCACAAAAAATAAAATTGAAATACCGACCTACATTCCCTATTTTTTTAAAGTATGTAACCTTAAACAGACATATATGTCTCAGTTTCCCAAATAGGAGAGATGATGAAGTCTATAATGATATTAAGACTACAGGTACAACTCTATTTTGGAAGAAATATCCTATAGACATTAAGAATATATCTAAGTATATAAACGGTTTAAGGTAAATATTTGTGTGTCAATAATGTTACACTTGTTTATGAACATGTGTCAAAATGTTAGGTTTCCATCCAAGCTCTTGCAAAAGGATCGTCCTATTTAATGAACTATTTGTATATTATCGCTTAAGAACATAAAAAATGTTGACATGCATTTATTTTGTTATGATTACCATAAATTAGTTTGAAAACAATAATATTGCTGATCAATACTTCGGAAATGAGTTTATATTTCAAATGTATATTTACAAGTAATTATGTTTTTAAGAAACAATAGACATATTTTGCTGTTGTTGTTGTAAGCGACAATTGAACATTTTCTAAAAAAAAATTATAACAGATCTAAACTATGGCCTCAGTCTTAGAACAGTATGTCAATACAGTACAGAACCTATCTTCCCAAGGTAGAAAAAATAATTTGTTTCAGCAGTCAATATGTGATTCGATCAACTGTAGACGAATCTAACAGCTACATGACATTTGCTAGGAATAAAAATTTTTGAACCCACTATATTGGCTATAAATTATGGCTATATATAAAAAAATAGTCATTTGACTCTACTGTCTTAAACCTCATCATTTTAATGGATATTTGTCATTTTTATAGTCTTTAAATAAAAAAAAATTCAGTTGACCAATCTTATTCAATTTCTTGAGTCAGTAGTTAGTATACATCCTGATGTATAGTCAGATTGACTGACAGTAAAATGAGTCACAATAAATGTAGATCCTTACCTGAACTCTAGAAAAGGTGCCATGCATTTAAAAAGAATATCCTCCATCAGGATGTACTGCATGGTTTATTGCCCTCAATGTTCATTTTCAAGTTCATGGGCCCTCCATGTATGATGTCAAATATTAGTCAGACTAATATTTATACAAATCATTTGGTGTATGGAATGATTGAAATCCAATTCACGTTCGCCCCTTTCAAGTTCACAACCCACATGTTCGCACCATGTGTCTGTTCCCACCCATACACGTTTGCACACTTTTAAAGGTTATGTTTTGAATAATTTTTTAATCATGCTTTAGTTAGTGTATTCCTATAAAATAAAAATAATAACTTTTATTGTCTAAAAATAAATTGACATTCTAGTCACAATGACATTGCTACGACAATAAACAACAAATAAAAAAAATCGGGCTACAAAGCACATGTTTATTAGGTGCATTACCAATACCATTAGGGTCTTTACAGATTAGGGAATAGTAGACTAATACTACAGAACAATGGGACCAAAAAATAAAGAATGGAGAAAAATAGACCAAAAAAATTACAGAATGATGGGGTGCTGAAATATAAAGAATACAAAAATGAGGGATCCAACATCCATACCCTCTACCATGTTTGGCATTGTTGTATAATCATACTTGTCCAAACACAGACGAGATCAAAGGGGCCAAGCTATTAAAAACAGTTATCTTTCATGTTTTCTATTTAAAATCTTTATTGTGTTTTCTCCTACCAAGCTTACTACTTGTATTTTACTTTACACCAAAGCTAGTTAAAACAGCAATCATGATTTTCAAACACATGACAATAGTACCAAATTAGCTTTGTACATTTGTAAATACCAATTAATAGTTATCATAAATAGTTAACATTTAATACATTTCACACACAAAAACACATAGATGTGATCTTTACGCAGTGTTTCCCAGTCTTAATCAATTTAATTTACTTCTGTTGTAGGAAATTTTTCGCAGCTGTGTGAATTCATTGGAAAAAGTGCAGATGCCCTAACCAAAAATGCAAGCCATTTGGACAATGTGTTAGCAACATTAGATATTCAGCAACATTCTCTAGGAATTTTGGGTATATTGTAAGTAAACATATTCAGATTACTTTTGTTATTTGTTAAGGAATTTTTACTGTCAGTGACATCACACAAGACAGATAAAACATACAATATAACAAATACGAAATACGAAATATAAAATATTTTATTAAAGAAAGCTCAGTTATGAACATAAGTCAATAATAGCATAGATACAACAAAGAACAACATTTAAACAATCTCACTACAATTAATACTAAACAAGTATTAAAATAGTGTGTGTTCCAAGGGGAGTAACTCTAGTATATATAGAAATGAAAACCAGTTAATCACTGTAGATATACATGTATATTATAAATAGCCAACAAACAAACAAAAAAATTTCACACTTTTACTCTAAGTTAAAAACACATGTTATGGTACTTAGTTTGATTATTGATTAAGACTGGGAAACACTTACATTCTTTATTCAGTATTTGATCTAAGAGCACTGTGAGAAAGGTAGTCTTAAAATATGTATGGGTATATCCTTTTTATACGACCGCAAAAAAAATTTTGGGATCGTATAATGGTATGATGTCGTCGTTGTCTGTGTCGTTGTCGTCTGTGTCGTCGTCCGAAAAGACACATTGGTTTCCGGACAATAACGTTAGTTTAAGTGAATGGATCTCTATGAAATTTTTTAAGAAGGTTCAATACCACAAAAGGAAGTTTGGAATTGATTTTGGGGATGATGGTCCCAACTGTTAAGAATTTAGGGGTCCAAAAGGGGCCCAAAACAAGCATTTTTCTAGTTTCAGGATAATAACTTGTGTATAAGTATTTTGATTGCTCTGAAATTGTGCCACAATGTTTAATACCACAAGTAGAAGGTTGGGATTCATTTTAGGGGTTATGGGGCCAACAGTTTAGGAATTAAGGGCCAAAAAGGGGCCAAAAACAAGCATTTTTCTAGTTTCCAGACAATAACTTGTGTGTAAGTGTATGGATCTCTCTGACATTGTACCACAAGGTTCCATATCACAAAGGGATTGCTGGGATTGAGTTTGGGGTTAATTGCCTAAAACATGTAGAAATTACGGGCCAAAAAAGGGCCAAAAACAAGCATTTTTCTAGTTTCCAGACAATAACTTGTGTTTAAGTGTATGGATCTCTCTGAAATTGTACTACAAGGTTCCATACTACAAAGGCAATGCTTGGATTGAGTTTTGGGGTTACTGCTCCAAGGGGGGTTTCAAAAAGTTGGGGGGGGGGGGGGGATTTTTTTTAGGGATTCATATTTTTTTCAAAATTTTTCAAATTTCGAATTTTTGAAAAGTTTCAAGAAGAAATCTTCAATTGCACAGTATTGCGCAATAGATTTGTAAGATCTTTGACCACATTTATTTTGTGTCAGAAACCTATATTATGTCAAAAACTTGATCACAATCCAAATTCAGACAGTATCAAGCTTGAATATTGTGTCCAAATTTGCCCCAACTGTTCAGGGTTCAACCTCTGCCGTCGTATCAGGCTGCGCTCAGCGAAGCATTTTATTAAACGTATGATAAAAATTAATGTAGTAATTATCATTATTTTATGCCTGTAGAAGAGGTTGATTAAAATCTATTACAGGCTGTGCATTGATTTAAAAGTTGATTTACCACAGTTGTTAAAATAGACTAAGAAATTAAGGTTGATCCAGTTTTACTTGTGCACATACCTTTTCCCTTTCCATCAATCTAATCAATTTCAGGAATCCAAAATGGGGAACAGTTGTATTAAATTAGGAAATTAGAATATGTGGTTTGATTGCCAATGAGACCACTATTCATTAAATTTTGCTTGAAAATGTTGAATGTATATAAAAATAATGTTATGATTGCCAGTGAGACAGCTCTTCACAAGAGACTAAATTAAGCAAAAGACACAGAAATTAACAACTATAGGTCACTGTACAGCCTTCAACAATGGGAAAAACCCATACCGCATAGTCAGCTATAAAAGGCCCCGAAATTACAAATGTAGAACAATTCAAACAAGAAAACTAACGGCCTGATTTTATGTACAAAATAATGAACGAAAAAACAATTATGTTATACAGCAGCAAACAGCAACCACTGAATTACAGGCTTTTGACTTGGGACAGGCACATACAGAATGTGGCGGGGTTCAACTAGTTTGAAGGCACCAACCCTCCCCTAACCTGGGATAGTGGTGTATTAGTAAAAAATAAGAACAAACTTATAAAAATCAGTTGAAAAGGACTTAACTCATCAGATGGAAACAAAGCAGAAATACATCTAACAAAAACCCAGAGTGGACATGGCAGGGTACTTATACATCCCCACAACAAAAAAGATACTTCATTTAAAAAACCAAAATTATGTTTGATAAAGATCTACTTAAGTAAGGACATATAACTAACATACGTCTTTGACATCAATAAGAGACATCTTAACCAAGGTGCAAGTATATCCCTTTCAATACATTTAAAGAACTGCTTTGAGTAAAAATATGCCAAGAAATGACTTCATGTAATAATTTACATGTATGGATATTCAAGTCAGAATGGCTGGCTCACAGCACAGATAGTGCTGATATCAATGGGGAAGCATACTTTTAAGTTGTATTTAAAAATATGTGACAAATATATTTCAAAAAAATTAAATGTAATTTTTACAAATAGGTTACTAATTTCTGTTTATTGATGTAATTTATGTCAAATTGCCCTTCGCTTACCATAATGTAATACCAATGATGTCTGGTTTCAGATGTGTGAAGTACAGTTTACCAAATATACCAGATTTTGAGATTTTATTTATACAGACTCAGGAATTCATCAATAATTGTAATGGAGAGCATGTCAGATATGCCACTGACAGTTGTAAGTTTATACAAAAAATGTTCTTTATTAAGGTGTTGTCTTATCTTCTTTTGAGTATATCATATATAATGGTATGTATTTACATGTATTGTCGTTTCAAGTTTTCATTTTCAATAAAGGAGAAAGTAATAAAGCGGCCTAATAGGCCCTTAAACATTTAATATTTGTTTTTCATAATTTCTCTAATTTGCCAAACAAGATTTGATTTTGATTTTTGGTGTTTTAACGCCACTTTTAAGCACCGCTTTTGGGCTATTTCTTGGCTGCCAGTTTTTATTGGTGGAGGAATCCGGAGTGCCTGGAGAAAACCACCGACCTTCGATAGGAAAACTGACAATCCTAGTCAATTAAGATTAGAGTAGAGTGCACCCGCTCGAGCGGGGTTCGAACTAACAACCTCAGTGTTGACTGGCTAGTGATTACAGTAGTAACTACTTAGAACACTCGGCCACCGAGGCCCCTGCCAAATAAGATATTGAACCTATTTAATGCACATGGTCCTCATTAAAACGTTTCAGTTATTGTTTAAGATATTTTTTAAATGGCGATACAGCAAACATAGTAAAATGGAGAAATTACTTTAAATCTTAATCACAAGAAGCACACGTGTTGAGAAATGATTTAGTGCACAAACCTTGCCCAGAAGAAGGAAATGTATTTTTTGAATGATCTACTTACTGGCAAAATTCATTTTGGATGAGGTTTATACCTATTAATTAAAATATAATTTTCCTGAAAATAACCCATATTTTGATGAAATTAGGCAAATCCCTTTTAAAATATTAGATGTCAAAGATCAAAAAATAATTTTGGGATGTATTAATGGGATAGAAAAGATATTGGATGCATATAAATTGTTTTTCATGTTTCTGAAATTATTTAGTATTCATATTACCAAATTACTGTAATAAAGTAAAAAAGGTAAATCACCAGACTTTTTGTTTTGTTTTCTGATATCTATAAAGTGATCACTTGTGGAATCCTAGCTAATAAATAAAATCCATGAAGTTTGAAAATTATTTACTTTTGGGATAAACATTTTTATACGACCGCAAAAATTAAAAATTTTTTGGTCGTATATTGGTATGACGTTGGCGTCGTCGTCGTCGTCGTCGGCGTCGTCGTCGTCGTCGTCGTCGTCGTCCGGCGTCGTCCGGCGTCGTCCGAAGACACATTGGTTTTCGCACTCTAACTTTAGTTTAAGTGAATGGATCTCCATGAAATTTCACCATAAGGTTCAATACCACAAAAGGAAGGTTGGGATTGATTTTGGGGGTTATGGTACCAACAGTTAAGGAATTAGGGGCCAAAAAGGGGCCAAAAATAAGCATTTTTGTAACTTTCAGACAATAACTTGTGTGTAAGTGTATGGATCTCTCTGACATTGTACCACAAGGTTCCATATCACAAAGGGAAGGCTGTAATTGATTTTGGGGGTAATTGCCTCAAAATTTTAGGAATTAGGGGCCAAAAAAGGGGCAAAAAACAAGCATTTTTCTAGTTTCATGACAATAACTTGTGTGTAAGTGTTTGGATATTTCTGAAATTGTACTACAAGGTTACATATCACAAAGGGAAAGCTGGAATTGAGTTTGGGGGTAATTGCCCGAAACGTTTAGGAATTGGGGGCCAAAAAGGGGCCAAAAATAAGCATTTTTCTAGTTTCCAGACAATAACTTGTGTTCAAGTGTATGGATCTCTCTGAAATTGTACTGCAAGGTACCATACCACAAAGGGAAGGCTGGGATTGAGTTTGGGGGTGATGAATCATAAGGGGGTTCAAAAAATTTGGGGGGGGGGGGGATTTTTTTTTTTTTTTTTTTCTTTTTTTCCTTTTTTTTTTCTTTTAAAATTTTCCATTTTAAGTTGGTTATTTCTGATTTATATTTAAAAGCAAATAATAATGATATGGTAGGAGATACACACCAAACAGGATGTGTAAATTATTATATAATAAGTATTGTGCAATAGCAAGAAATTTTCAATTGCACAGTATTGCACAATAGCAAGAAATCTTCAATTGCACAGTATTGCGTCATAGCAAGAAATCTTCAATTTAACAGTATTGCGCAATAGCAAGAAATATCCAATAGCACAATATTGCGCAATAGCAAGAAATTGTCAATTGTACAGTATTGCGCAATAGCAAGAAATATTCAATTGCACAGTATTGTGCAAAAGAAGATACTTCGTATAAATTGCTTATTTCTTGATCAATTTCAATGGGGTTTTATTCTTGAATTCTTGGGGTTCTTTAATATGCTGAATCTAACTGTGTATTAATTTTTTAGATTTTGGGCCCCGTTTTTAAATTGGTCCACATTGAGGTCCAAAGGGTCCAAAATTAAACTTTGTTTGATTTCATCAAAAATTGAATTATTGGGGTTCTTTGATATGCCGAATCTAACCGTGTATTTAGATTTTTAATTTTGGGTCCCTTTTTTAAATTTGTCTACATTAAGGTCCAAAGGGTCCAAAATTAAACTTAGTTTGATTTTAACAAAAATTGAATTCTTAGGGTTCTTTGATATGCTGAATCTAAACATGTGTTTAGATTTTTGATTATGGGCCCAGTTTTCAAGTTGGTCCAAGTTGGGGTCCAAAATTAAACTTTGTTTGATTTCAACAAAAATTGAATATATGGGGTTCTTTGATATGCTGAATCTAAACATGTATTTAGATTTTAGATTTTTGGCCCAGTTTTCAAGTTGGTCCAAATTGGGGTCCAAAATTAAACTTTGTTTGATTTCAACAAAAATTGAATATATGGGGTTCTTTGATATGCTGAATCTTACCATGTATTTAGATTTTTTATTTGTGGGCCCGCTATCAAATTGGTTCATATTGAGGTCAAAAGGGTCCAAAATTAAACTTTGTTTGATTTCATCAAAAATTGAATTATTGGGGTTCTTTGATATGCCAAATCTAACCGTGTATTTAGATTTTTAATTTTGGGTCCTGTTTTTTAAATTTGTCTACATTAAGGTCCAAAGGGTCCAAAATTAAACTTAGTTTGATTTTAACAAAAATTGAAATTTTGGGGTTCTTTGATATGCTGAATCTAAACATGTGTTTAGATTTTTGATTATGGGACCAGTTTTCAAGTTGGTCCAAGTTGGGGTCCAAAATTTAACTTTGTTTGATTTCAACAAAAATTGAATATATGGGGTTCTTTGATATGCTGAATCTAAACATGTATTGAGATTTTAGATTTTTGGCCCAGTTTTCAAGATGGTCCAAATTGGGGTCCAAAATTAAACTTTGTTTGATTTCAACAAAAATTGAATATATGGGGTTCTTTGATATGCTGAATCTTACCATGTATTTAGATTTTTTATTTGTGGGCCCGCTATCAAATTGGTTCATATTGAGGTCAAAAGGGTCCAAAATTAAACTTTGTTTGATTTCATCAAAAATTGAATTATTGGGGTTCTTTGATATGCCAAATCTAACTGTGTTTTTAGATTTTTAATTTAGGGTCCCGTTTTTTAAATTTGTCTACATTAAGGTCCAAAGGGTCCAAAATTAAACTTAGTTTGATTTTAACAAAAATTGAATTCTTCGGGTACTTTGATATGCTGAATCTAAACATGTGTTTAGATTTTTGATTATGGGACCAGTTTTCAAGTTGGTCCAAGTTGGGGTCCAAAATTAAACTTTGTTTGATTTCAACAAAAATTGAATGTATGGGGTTCTTTGATATGCTGATTCTAACCATGTATTTTGATTTTGGACATTGGACCATAATAGGTAAATTAAAAAAATTCAAGTTCTTAGACCACATTCTTTCTGTGTCAGAAACCTATGCTGTGTCAAATATTTAATCACAATCCAAATTCAGAGCTGTATCAAGCTTGAATGTTGTGTCCATACTTGCCCCAACTGTTCAGGGTTCGACCTCTGCGGTCGTATCAAGCTGCGCCCAGCGAAGCATTTTATTATATGTTGAATTGTCTCCGATTAACCATAATTTACCTATTGCTGTATTATTTTTAAAATCTGTTTTGTCTTTTTAGTTGCAGATTTATGTCATAGATTTACACAAAATTTGGTAGAAAAGAAACAGGTATTGTTTTTCTATTAAAATACTTAATGCATATATTATCAATTGACCTTAAATGTATAGACTGAATATTTGATATGAGAACATGTAATACAATAAAAAAAATTGTAGAACTTTAACCATGTTTTGAAAGCACAATAGAGCTTGCCCTTTGCATACTATCTTCACACTTGGTAGAATTGTACCTTTACGGTGGGATGATAAATTTCACAAAGAAAACATGGTGATAGCTAAATTTTCTTCTTATGTAGTTGTAAGATGGTCATAGCAAGTTCATAAAAAAAGGTATCTCATATGGAAGTATCAGCACTTAACATTTGTTAAAAATAGCAAACGTTATTAGTCCCTTACCGACGAAGTCGAAGGGGACTTTAGGTTTGCACCCCGTCTGTCTGTCTGTCTGTCCATCCGTCAGTCTGGAAAATCAGTTTTCCACACTTTTTTTCTTCATGCTTGAAGATATTGATTTTATATTTGGTGTATAGTTTTATCATGACAACTTACAGATCAAATTCGAATTTTGTTCTGTCTGATGATTTTGTGCAGAGTTATGGTCCTTGGACTTAGAAAATTCACTAAAATAATCAGTTTTCCACACTTTTTTCGTCATGCTTGAAGATATTGATTTGATATTTGATATATAGTTTTATCATGACAAGTTATAGATCAAGTTCGAATTTTGTTTCGGTCTGATGATTTTGTGGAGAGTTATGGTCCTTGGACTTAGAAAATTCACTCAAATACCGTATAGCGGGTTATTTTCGCGGGTGTAGAATTTTCGCGATTAAGGGGCAACAAAGTAAACGAAAAATTTTGGCGGATTCTTTAATCCCTATTAAATATTTTGGCGGATACTGAAATGGTTGCAGTTAAAAAGTTGTAAAAATTGACAAGAGATAGAGAGATAAGATAAATAATAGTGTATTTAAGTGTCACATATTGATCTATAATAAAAGTATCTGTTGTTATGGTTAAATGATTGTTTTACCTGCATGACGTCTTTATATTTATTGATTATATTTTGATACAGTTAATCAATAGAATACTGGTACTTAGATATTTGTCACAGGTGTACAAACCTCTGGTAAATGTTACAGTTGATTAGTTACGAAATTGACCAGACCTTTGATGTACTAATTAGATCATAAAATTATCATGAGTGACTTGCGACTCTTATATAATTTGACACTAATTAATAAGGATAAAAATCCTGACAGAGTACCTTACACTCTACTAATATTATTAATTATTTTATTATGTAACCAATTAACTAATTAACACCTGACAGCCTGGGAACAATGGCCTTTCGCATTTATGTTGGTTAAATTAACATAAACCATTATTGATTCGACGAATGGGAAAAATAGATAGTTTATAAAACGCTTTAGCTATTAGAAAGAACCGAACGTATGCATAAATTATTGCGGAATTTAATTTTGCGATTTCCTCTTACCCGCCAAAATAAGCGAAAATAAACACCCTGTGAAAACAACCCGCAATACAGTAATCTGTTTTCCGCATTTTTTTGGTCATGCTTGAAGACAAGTTAGCATTTTGTTCCAATACAATGAATTTTTAACCGGTAGGGGACTATGTATTGCCATGCAATACTCTCAGAATGCTTGTTATATTGTAATATCTATAAATTGCAATTAAGATATGGTAGAATATAGCTTTATGGCCCATCTACAATAGAAGTGAGGCATTATGTTTTCCTGTTGTCTAACCAGTATCAGATTAATGCTTTGGTTTAAGATAGTTTACCTTGAAGTTGTTACCACATCTACATGAAACTTAGAGCACCAGTTCATAATGGTGTTAACTTTTATGAATATATGCCACATTAGGATTTTTACCTAGAATTGTAGTTCACTGAACATGCAAATGTGATACATGTAGTACAAGCATGGCATGGTGTCCTATATTTAAACACATTATTATTGTTAAAAAAATCAGAACGATAGTTTTTGTTTTATTTATTAAGATTATAAAGATATGTACATTTTTGTATTGCAGCCAATGAGAGGTATCAAACTATTAGTGAATGCCATTGATAAGATTCAGTTATTGCCAGCCCAGTTAACATCAATCCATGCAGATCTGTGTCAGGTAATTAGTGAATGTCATTGATAAGATTCAGTTATTTCCAGCCCAGTTAACATCAATCCATGCAGTTCTGTGTCAGGTAATTAGAGAATGCCATTGATAAGATTCAGTTATTTCCAGCCCAGTTAACATCAATTCATGCAGATCTGTGTCAGGTAATTAGAGAATGCCATTGATAAGATTCAGTTATTTCCAGCCCAGTTAACATCAATTCATGCAGATCTGTGTCAGGTAATTAGAGAATGAATAGAGAAATGGTCATGCTTGAATAAAAATGACCTTCCAGTAAGCTTTCAGAAAATGAATAAAATGGGGTACATATTCTTGTTTTCTGGCTATTTAACAAAATAGTTCAAAAACAAAGTTACTTGAAACACCAGACATCAGATTTTGTCAATTGCTGAGATCTTGACGATCATCTTCTCAATTCGAGACTTATTACAGCAGCCATAATAGATATGATAGTATTTGATTATTTACCTGTTTAAATTGTTGAAGGAAAATGAATTTCAAAACTTTGGTTGATAGTAGCTCAATTATTTAAGATGCTATCTAGATACACTATAAAGTTGAAACGTCATACAGTGACAAAAAGCCAAAAAGAAAAATTGGAACAGCATCAAGAAAGCTCAAAGATCCTTATAATATGAATCCATGATAAACTTTAATACATCATGTCATATAAACATGATTTCATAAAGTACTGTAGACAAGGTCTTTGAAGATCAATTTCAATACCTGTTAATTGGTTAATCAGTTGAAATATTATCCTAGTAACTGGTTAGGTAAACATATTCAATTTGACAAAACCAATTAATTATGTTTTACGTTTGTCAGATTATTTTTTTTTTGACATAGGAAAACAGCATCATACTTTATAATTATGTGTTTTTATCTATATTTAAGTTATGTTTACTGTCAAAGAACATGACCTCTGCAATACCATTCCTGGATGTGGAAATCAATGAAATAAGTAAAGAGGTAAAACAAATAAGGTTTTGTCTTCAACTGAAATTTACTGTAAAATATAGTAACTGTTAACAAAAAATGCAAGTCAAAGATAAGAAAGAACTAACTGTTGTTTTTTTTGTAGCTAAAATTGTTAGAAAGATACTCAATTTACATTTTTTATAAAATGGTGTTATATCACTGCTGTCAATAAGATAATCTATTAAATGTCAAACTACAAATTCTGGAATTTTTGCTCTGTTTTTATCATTGTGAAAATTGTGACGTTATAGGTTTCGTAAAAATAAAATAATACATTTCCTAAAATCACAATGATAAATCTTTTATTTGTGTCCATTGTTCAACAATGTCAATAAAAAATTCACCCAAAAATTTCTGAATTTACAGTACTTAAATGTTAATGAAAGGGTATGATTTTATTTCAGGGTGGCCATTTTGATGCTAAAGATTTATTATTGTATTACTACTATGGAGGAATGATCTACACTGCACTGAAAAACAATGATAGAGCATTGTACTTCTATGAAATTGTAAGATATTTATTTGAATGTTAGATTTCATGTTCAAAGATGTATATTGATCTTGAAATAAGTCTTTAATTCTGTCTGTGTGTCCATTTTCTGCAACAATTTTATTTTGGATGGTGTTAAATTAAGCACTGCAAAACTAAATAACTAAATATATATATAAAAATAAGATTCACATCAAGGGTTCTGGAAACGGTCATATTTGCCAGTCATGTCCTAAACTGAAAGCTATTTGTCCTAAACGGCAGATTGGGATTTAGGACAAATTTATTTTTCTTACAGAACTAATTTCGGTCATTTCATTGAGATCGGCCATCGGCTTTCACCATTTTGCACTTGTTTTTGTTTTGTAATCACTTTCCTGTTATAAAACTGCAACTCCAGTATAGTATGATAATCCAGAGGGCCCTCCTAATAACCATATTAATGCCTCCGGGAAATATTAGCTAATGATCGCTAATCACTTTTTACTTGTGTTTTTAATTCACGCCTGACTGATCACAAGCTCAGAACTAATATTATAAAGAAATTAAAATTCAATGACAACCCTTTTCATTATTTAATTACTTTACAGCAAAGACAATCGACAATTCTGATTTAGAATTAAAACTTGATTAAATTTACGTCGAAAAAAAGTAATTTTTCACGAGTCAAACATGTGCTTTATTTACTGTGTAATATGCATGTGTGAAATTGTCATCACTAGATTAGACACTTAATCGTAAAATGAAAAATGATTTCATACTAAATTAGAAGAACGATCTATTATCTGTTATATTCAAACACTTTTAAAGGTAATAAAATTAAAAACCCTGTGAGAACGAATCCCGGAAATGAATCCGGAATTACTCCTACTTTAGTATTGTCGTGAGACCTCCAGTTTTAATTTCTTCTTCAAAATCGAAAGAAACATTAGCGATGACTGAGAAACTTACAATTTTGAGTCATTAAAATCATTTTAATTTAAACTGTTGCATTCCATTAACTGTTCTTGAACATTTTTAGAAAAACAGTAAGAAAATTCATGAAGTAAATGTGATGAAACAGTCAGCACAAGTTTGTTGATGCTATGAATCTGGTGTGGATAATTTCGACAGTTTGAAAAAAGGGGCCCCAACTTTTAAATCATTTCAAAATGATAGAAATTGTGTGAAAAAATTTCCGGATCCTTGATTCACATGTAAAAAAAATTGAAGTATAACTTGAACAAATCTATAAAATGTTTGCAAAATGTCTTTTATGATAGTCAAGTTCTGTTGTGGAGAAAAAATTTGGTTGTTAATTAAGGTATAACTTGACCACCTCTTTTCAAGTTTTAGCAATTTAATGAACTTACAGGGGCATCAGTTGTCAATTCATGTTCATCGATTTGACCCAAATTCTCATATTTTATTTATAACATACTAAAATGTAGATCTAAAGTACAAAAAGTCCAATAGAAACAATCAACAATACATGGCCTCCCTATAATTTATCACCATTTTGTTCTTATTTTAGACCAGACACCATCTAACTATCTATCGAGATGACCTCCGAAGACTGCAGATAATCATATAACCTGACATAAACATAAATATAAATAGTCAGCGTGTGCAATCAAAATTTTGCAGGTTAAAAATATATGTAAAACATTGCTTTACCTGTATAAAAAATTTTTTTTGTTGGCCAGATCAGTCAATGAAATGGTTATTCCTAATGTCTCCCTTGTTTCACTTTCATTTTGACATACTTTTCTTTTTAATGAATGAACATGCTGACCACCACATGCTAAATACATGTGCAAAAACGTCAAACTCAAGGTTGCATGAATATGGATTAAAATGAGTTTAAATATTGACTTGCAAATCAATAATACATCAGTGTTGTTTTTTAGTTTATTTTGATGAAATTGAACCAAACTGACTGCTTATAGCTAAAAATTATTTCTTTATTCCACTTTTATAAATGTTTGCAACAAAAAAAATTGTATTTTATTTTTTTGCCAAATTTGTAGGTAATGCCCATTTAAGAAAAGATAGACTTAACTACATATCTCTTTCAATATCATATATATTTCTTTCTGAAATCTTGTTGCATGCAGAATATCTGTGAACACTTTTATTAAGTTGTTCACCATATTTAGCTAAATTGTCTGATTTGAATATTGTTCTTTAACGGTAGACTGTCTGAAAGATCATCAAATGCATACATCATTGTGTTTATGAAACATGCATATGTGTTACGTCAACTTTTTCATTTTGTAATTTTCTCAATGTCATAGTTAGTTTATAGAATCATAGTTAACTTTTCGCCCAAAATTTAGGTTGAGCTTGACAATTTCAGAGGAAGACCAAAAGCAATATGGAGATTAACACCTCTGGACTGGAGTTTCACATGTACATAACTTACTGAAGAACATGCTAGGAATACCAAAAAATGGTCTTTGTAATAAAAGATGCATGATGTTAGTAGAAGTTAAAATATATTTCTTTATTTGCAGGCCATTACAACACCAAGTATGGCAGTTAGTCATGTGATGTTAGAGGCTTATAAAAAGTATATTTTGGTAGCACTTATAGTCCATGGAAAAGTAAGTTAAAAAGTAACAATAAAAAATAACAATTTTTTGTAACATACCTATATATAGATTAATAAATCTAGTATATAAGGTTTATATAATAATTTAAGTAAGTTGATCTAGATTTAATTATAAGATATTCCACAGAATTTTGTTCAAAATGAAAATTACAATTGAGATGTTGCGCTGAAAAAAGTTTTCTGACAGTTAAGTTGACTTGAAAAAAAGCAAGAGTGACATACCATATTGTATCCTTTTTTGAAGAATTTTCATCACCTCACCCTGCAAATTAGGCATCGGATAAATATTTTGTTTGTTTGTTCTTTGGTCCTTCCCAGTTTAGTTTTTTGTAATGGTCTCCATCTGAGCAACTATTAACCATAAAGGAAAGAATTTTTGTTAATTGATGCATCATGTTTAGTTACAAAGGTTCACACTAAAATTAGGTCAAAACATGAAACGTTTTGGTAAAGCTATGTGTTAAGGTCCAGGAGCTCTTTTCACAAAAATCTTTTTTTGTAATGGTCTCCATCTGAGCAACTATTAACCATAAAGGAAAGATTATTTTGTTAATTGATGCATTATGTTTAGTTACAAAGGTTCACACTAAAATTAGGTCAAAACATGAAACGTTTTGGTAAAGCTTTGTGTTAAGGTCCAGGAGCTCTTTTCACAAAAAATCTTACGACTAAAATTGATCATAAGTTATACTGAAATGATCATGACTTACGAGTGTTTTTACTCGTAAGAATTTTTGTGAAAAAAGTCCAGATCTTAGCAACTACAAGTAATTATCTTTTGTCAGGTGGTGCTCACGTTAAGTTACAAAGATACATATTGAAATTTGGTCACATGACCCTCATTTCACAATGAAATGTTTTGTGTTAAGATCCAGTTGATTCATCATGTTTAGTTACAAAGGTCCACATTAAATTAGGTATTCTATAAGTTGAATTCAGCAATATTTAATCATTCATTGTTTGAAAAACAGTGTATAAGGAGTGATCTAGTTTTTATCTCATCTGCCAGTCAGTTAGTCGGTCAGTTATTTTCATTTGCAGATGTTATTTTAATACTACATATGGCATTTCAACTTTACTTAAATTCATTGTCACATATAGTAATAGGAAGGTCCACTACCTGGTATTAATTTTGAGGTCATTTTGTCTAAGGTCAAGGTCAAAGTTACAAAAAAGCCCTGTAATTTATGCAGAAAAGTGGTTTTAAGGATGTTATATCAAATACAACATATGGGATTGAACTTTTACTTGGAATTGTGTGGTCTCACATAATGAGAGGAAAATCTGTATCGATTTGGGGTTACTATGTCTAAGATCAAGATCAAGTTACTAAAAATAGACATAAAAAGGTGCAGAAAAGGGGTTTCAGAATGCTTAATCAAATACAATTTATGGGATTGAACTTTAATTTGTATTTGTGGTCACATATAATGAGAGGAAGGTCCCTATTGATTTTGAAGTCATTTGGTAAAAGACCAAGGTGGTAGTAAATAGAAATGGATTTGTATAAGACCATAATACTGTCTGAAATCATAGAAAAGAATCATACATTAAAGTAAACACAAAAAAAAACAATGCTAGAAGGTCATTATAAGCTTTTCCCCTTTATATGGAGCACATTAGGTATGTGAGTTTGCTCACTAAAGGTTCTTTAATCATCTTTCAGGTACCAAATTTACCAAAATATACATCACCTGTTGTTGCTAGATACATTAAGGTAAGTGTTATAAAGTGAAACTTTTCAAGTTCATCAAATACGGTACATTGAATTTATTTTTCTCTTAGAAACTGTAATTTACATTTGAAAAATCAGTTATATTACTTAACATTTACCTGGCATTCACACCCAATAAAACTATAAAAGTGGTCACAGGAAACAAAATTGTGGAAATGTTTTAACAGATAGAAATGAACTTATAATTTAGAAAATGGACAATCAAAAGAAAACTCATTGACAGCCACCTGACTGTCTCCCTTCAAAACATGCACATATCCATGTGTTGGGTAAAATTAATTTTATAGGCCCTTGACTTTCTTCCTTATACCATTATCAGTATAGAAAGGTGTGAAGCAATTAAATATACTGTTAAAGAGAATTCAAAATAGCACTTCAATCAGTATGACATAGAAAACCATTTCAGGAACTTGTTCAAGAGTTGGTAGAAAAAACTTTCAAAAGCCCATGAAATTGTAAGCAAGAGTTCCCCTGTAGTATGCTTTTGAATTCAATGAAATTTTACACATTTGTTTTAGAGTTATTGAACTTAAATCCTAAAATACTCAGTATATTGTCAATTTTTGCTCCAGTTCTGCTACTACTGACATAAAAATATGGAGATGTGGTATGATTGTCAATGAGACATTTGTTCAACAGATACCAAATGATGTGGATGTAAGCAACTGTAGGTCACAGAATAGCCTTCAACAATGAGTAAAACCCATACAGATTAGTAAGATATAAAACACCTTGACATGTCAAAATGTAGAACAATTTAAATGAGAAAACCAAAGGCCTGATTTATGATAAAACAATAAACAATTAACAAATATAATGGACAACCACTGAGTTACAGGCTTCTGACTTGGGATAGGTACATATAGAAGTTGCAGGTGAAACATGTTTACAAGCGCTCAATCCCACTGTAACCTGGGACATTGGTGTAACATCAGAACAAAAAACACACTGTAAAAAATAGTTGGAAAGGGTTTGATTCATCAGATTGATATGAAGCACAAAAATCAACTAACAAAAAGACGAAAGACACAAAGTTCTGTTCTAAGAGTACTTACAGATACTGAAAACTAGTTCAAAGCAAATTACAAATAAATGATAAACCATATTTTACCAGCTTAAAATATCAATCTTTAGACATCCAACAGTTTAGTGTTAAGACTGAATAAACAGTCCAAGAAAATCATGACATTGTACAATATCAGAATATTTGTGGTATTGAAATTCCTGACCATATGATTTACAAGTTATACAAAGATTACATTCAATGAAATCTAAAACACCACTACAGACATGTGGCATAGCAAACAAGTTGGAAAATATATATGTCAGATATCTAATTTAAATTACAAAGTGAAAACCTCAATTATTTTTTTCTGTTTTACAGCCATTATGTCAGCCATATCATGATCTTGCTGCTTCTTATACAACAAATAATCCATCAGATTTACGGAACACTGTTTCTAAACATCAGGAAACATTTAATCGGGTTAGTAAAATTCTTGCATTTCAGTGCCTAACTAACAATGGTATAAAAAAACATATAATTTACTGTGATATCATTTAGTTTCCTTGGTATCAATTATTGTAGTTGTAGAAATGTTTGAACTTTTGAGGGGTCTTAATTCATTGTTTCATCATTTCCTTGTAAGAAATAATTAAACTTACAATTTGTATTTGTAGAGTACTTTAATTTGTGCTTAAATTGCTGCCAGTTCAACAAATATACACGATCTCATATTCCCTCAAATGTGTCTTTCGCAAAACTTGTGATTTAAACAACCTCTAAAGCTCCAACAGTTTGCATTGAAATATGCAGTTGTGTATGATATATTTCATTTTTTATAAGATTGATTTATGAAAAACTCTTAACAAAACTTGGTGTTTTTAATATAATGGGGATTTCTTTATGTAAAATTTACTACAGTTCATGTTAGACTGGAACAAAACTTAAAGAATTTCTTATTGGAGATGTGTTTTTCCAAGATTTGTGCAGACTTATTGATTTTTTCTTTTCTTAGGGGTAACAAGCAAACATAATTTCATCTGCATGTAAAGAAGCTTTTATCAGATATTATACCGATATACCATTATAAAAGGCTTATTATTTTTAATCTCTGATGTTTTATTTTAACAGGACAGTAACATGGGACTAGTAAAGCAGTGTCTTACATCATTATACAAGAAAAATATACAGAGACTTACAAAGGTTATTGTTATTAATACATTTGAGACTGATTATGGTAGATGGTATTAAATCACTGTTCATTTGAATGCATGCTCTACTTTGAAGACTGTTCAATGGATAAAAAAAGGTGTTCAACTTTAAAATAGATTTCTGTATTTCTAGTGTGAAAGTCCTCGATTTTCAAAACCATTTTTTTCGAGCCTGCGACTTTTGTCACAGAAAGCTCGACATAGGGATAGTGATCTGGCGGCGGCGGCGGCGTTAGCTAACTTCTTAAAAGCTTTATATTTTAGAAGATGGAAGACCTGGATGATTCATACTTTGTATATAGATGCCTCATGTTACGAAGTTTCTGTCAGTCACATGTCCAATGTCCTTGACCTCATTTTCATGGTTCAGCGACTACTTGAAAAAAAAGTTCAGATTTTTTGGAATGTTAAATTCTCTCTTATTATAAGTAATAGGATAACTGTATTTGGTATGTGCGTACCTTGCAAGGTCCTCATGCCCGTCAGATAGTTTTCACTTGACCTCGACCTCATTTCATGGATCAGTGAACAAGGTTAAGTTTTCGTGGTCAAGTCCATATCTGAGATACTATAAGCAATAGGTCTACTATATTTGGTGTATGTAATGATAGTAAGGGGTACATGTCTAACTGGCAGGTGTCATCTGACCTTGACCTCATTTTCATGGTTCAGTGGTCATAGTTTAGTTTTTGTGTTTTGGTCTGTTTTTCTAATACTGTATGCAATAGGTCAACTGTATTTGGTGTATGGAAATATTGTACGATGTTCATGTCAGTCTGGCAAGTTTTATTTGACCTTGACCTCATTTTCACGGTTCATTGCTCAATGTTAAGTTTTTGTGTTTTGGTTTGTTTTTCTAATACTGTATGCAGTAGGTCAACTATATTTAGTGTATGGAAATATTTTACGATGTACATGTCAGTCTGGCATGTTTTATTTGACCTTGACCTCATTTTCAAGGTTCATTGTTAAATGTTAAGTTTTTGTGTTTTGGTCTGTTTTCCTAATACTGTATGCAGTAGGTCAACTATATTTGGTGTATGGAAATATTTAATGATGTACATGTCAGTCTGGCAGATTTTATTTGACCTTGACCTCATTTTCATGGTTCATTGCTTATGTTACGTTTTTGTGTTTTGGTCTGTTTTTCTTACACTTTAAGCAATAGGTCAACTATATTTGGTGTATGGAATGATTGTAAGGTGTACATGTCTAGCTGGCAGGTGTCATTTGACCTTGACCTCATTTTCATGGTTCAGTGGTCAAAGTTAAGATTTTGAGTTTTGGTCTTTTTTTCTAATACTATATGCAATAGGTCAACTATATTTGGTGTATGGAAATATTTTATGGTCTTTATGTCCGTCGCGCAGTTTTTATTTTACCTTGACCTCATTTTCACAGTTCATTGCTCAGTGTTAAGTTTTTGTGTTTTGGTCTGTTTTTCTTAAACTATAAGCAAAAGGTCAACTATATTTGTTGTATGGAAGAATTGTTAGCTGTACATGCCTGCCTGGCATGGTTCATCTGACCTTGACCTCATTTCCATGGTTCATTGGTCAATGTTTAGTTTTCTTGGTTAATGTTAAGTTTATGTGACAGTTGTAAGAAAGCTTTATATTTAAGACTATCAACATAATATCAATGATTAGTAAAGAAGGCGAGACATTTCAGCGTGTGCACTCTTGTTGTTATAACATATTTGTAATTTCAATACTAAAATTAGAATAAAAGTTGTAGCTACACTTACAGCCGAAAACTTCTCATAATGTATTTTTAAAATCAGTTGTATGTATATTTCAGACATTCTTGACTCTATCCCTGTCTGACATGGCTAGTAGGGTACAGTTATCTGGTCCTAAGGAGGCAGAGAAATATGTTTTACATATGGTGAGTCATTATATATGTATGTCATTATAGCAGAATTAGGAAATTATACCATTCAAGAGCATCTTTTTATGTTGATTGTTTACTGTGAATTCATTTATTTTTCGTGGTCACCAATTTTTGTGGATGAGGAAACATGTTATTTTCGTGCATATTTGATTTCTTTGTTTGCCAAAGTCAGCATACATGCTTAAAGAAAATATGTACTTCCTTGAATGATTAAATTGGTGGGTAAACCATTACCCTCAATCGTCCTTAACATGCATGAAATATTTGCTACTGGAAGTTTGAAAGCAACCAAAAATCAATCAATCATTACCCTCAAAATCCACAAGAATTGGTATCCATAGTATATTGTTGAAATTAGCATTACACAAACTACCAATATTGTTTGTAAGGAATTTGTTATAATGCATTTTATTTTGCTTAACGTATTACTGTGGTTATTTTTTCGCGGAATTTATTTTTCGCTTTTTTCTTGTCTGTCATTTTGGTAGTCCTTTAAGATCAAATTTACAAAAAGGGATACTGGTATTTAGTGATTTTTTTATAAAATCATGACTACAAAATTAGCAACAATTTCTCTTTTTACAGTAATGAAAAGGCAAGGTCATGAATAGAAGAAGATGCGAGTCAATGAGACAGTAAAACAAATAACCAAAATACGTCTAGTTGGATTTGATTATGAATATTTGAGAAATATAGATTCCATCACTGCAACAAGTGTGTTACGATATTTCTCCACTCGAGACAGTTAAATTTTAATATTCAAAGCACGAGGCTTTACACGAGTTATAGTGGTGGAATCTGTTTCTCTAATGATTTTTATCCTTCCTTTACGAAGATTTGCAGAAAGTTGTGTTCTTTCTATGTGATGTCATCAGGCATGGTCACCTTTTTCCATGACGTCACAATAGGAGTTTCAGAAGAAATCAAGAATTTAAGCGTCATAATTAAATTTCGACCAATCATTTGCTGAGAACAGATATTTCACTAGTGAGGAGAAATATTTTTCTCACACCGCTCAGGAAAAGTGAAAATAGCATAAAAATTAGAGAAGTTCGAAGTTACAATATTGCATCACAAATAAATGTTATAAAATACAAATGCTTGTTAGGTTTTGTCTTTCATTTTTATCAGATTTTATGGATGGGTATGAAAATGTTCCTTTCTAAGAGTAAAAATTACAGTAAGAATTCTAATAATGTAATCATCTAATAATGCTTCTATACATATGTTACAATTTTTTTTTTGTTGACTCTTTAGATTGAAGATGGAGAAATATATGCCACGATAAATCAAAAAGATGGAATGGTTCGTTTTCATGACAACCCTGAACAATACAAAAGTGCAGCAATGTTACAGCAATTAGACAAAGAGGTAACAATCTATTCATTATCAGATTTTAATGAAAACTTTGAAGGTTGCAGAAAAGGAAGACGAAGACTTATGCATAAAATTAAACTGTTTAGTTCAAAGGAAAAAGTTTTTCATTTTAGTACCGGAAAGGTTTGCAAAGGTCTCAACAAACAGTATTGAGTGGATAAATAATACTTTCTAAGAAATTTTATAATATTCAATATTTTAAGGAAAATATATACTACGCAATCATCCATTTAACAATAATTGTGAGTTTTATGTGCCAATTTAACCCAAGATGTCTCCAATTATACTCTAAAAAAAATCTAGCTAAATTTATCCTTTATTTTTTTGACAGATGCAAAAATGTATCCAGTTAGATGAAAAGTTGAAAGAAATGGATAGAGAAATAGCAGTAAATCCTCAATTTGTGCAAAAGGTAACACATATGTAACCAAAGTAAGCTTTTTTTTTGTCATGCCAGAGTTGTGTAATGTTGTTAATGGTACATTTGAGTAGAATGATAACCAAGTATACTTGTTTATCAGTAGAAATCAGTTTCATGGACATTTGAAAAGTTACATAAAGACCTTGAAAATTATGGGCTCATATTGAAAACTTTCCAATATAGCTTAATATGTCTCATCTTTCTCTGAACTGGAATTTATGATTCATACACTTTTTTCTCAATGTGTATTAAAGCAGATTTTGAATAAATTTGCTTCAAAATTAGAAATCTAGAGGCCATCATAAGGTCATATCAATGGACTAGTGAATTACATTAGAAAGTTCATCAGGGAAGATTTTCTAATTTTCAAAAAAGATGTTGGAAGGCTTCCACATTGACGCCTAAGTTTTAAGGTCATGTTGAGTGAGTTTTGTGCATATATTGTAATGATTTAGTACTTTTCAAAATAATAGTCTAACTGTTAACCATCGCTTAGTCACTATGACTTTTATAGATTAGATTGATTATTCTTGTTTCAGTGTCATGATAGTGCCTGGTACTTAAAAGGCTTCCAGAATTTATCCTGTAGTTAACTTTTTTAGCTGACTATATAAAAATAAGGAGACGTGGTATGATTGCCAATGAGACCACTATCCACCAAAGTTCAATTGAAGTGGATGTAAGCAATTATAGGCAACATACGGCCTTCAACAATGAGAAAACCCCTTACCGTATAGTCGGCTATAAAAGGCCCCAACATGAAAAATTCAATTTAAGTATGTTGTACCATTTCAGAGTTTATCAAGCCATTATGACAACCTATGTTAATTTTTATGGTTATGTTGAGTTTTGTGGATACATTTAGTAATAAAGTTTGTTGTTACTTTTCAGAGTTCATCAAGCCATGATGATGACTTGCCAGGAAGCTCCTCTAAAATACAGGGATATTGATGATACCTAAAGTGAGGCAATAACATTACAAAGTGCTGTATCTTATTTGGACTGTAACAGTTAAACACAGTAGATCTTTATGAATTGTGATAGTGACACTGATGTCATTGGATTTTTTTTGTATTATCATAAATCAATAAAAAAAATAATTCTATAGCATCATTTAAGTCATGATTTAATATAGAAACCTTCACACAATTACTGATTAACAAGGACAACATTTTGTATGGTATTAGCATAAATGACAACCTACAAATTTGCAAGATAAATCTCATACTTTCAGGGTGGTTTGCATAAGGTAAAACAGTTGTATGAATAAGGTGGAGAAAGATGTATACCATTTGTTAAACACAAACTTCATATGATATCACCAGATATCAAATATTTCTTATTTTTAGGAATTTGTGGAAAATTTCAAGACAGCTTTATACTGGCACGCTTTTTTTGTCATGCCAGAGTTGTGTAATGTTGTTAATGGTACATGTGTAGGATGATATCCAAGTATACTTGTTTATGAGTAGAAATCAGTTTCATGGACATTTGCAAAGTTACATAAAGACCTTGGAAATTATGGGCTCATATTGAAAATAGTGGAAACTTTCCAATTTAGCTTAATATGTCTCATCTTTCTCTAAACTGGAATTTATGATTCATACACTTTTTTCTCAATGTGTATTAATTCTCAATGAGCCATTACAAAATATTACCAGTTTTCTTTCTGGACATTTGTGTGAAAAGCTTGGTACATTTGATATTATTCATATGATATTGAGTTTTCAAGATTGTTTATTCTTGGCGAGCTAGTTTCCTCAACTAACAAAGGTACTGCAAAGTAAATCACTCCTTCAAAACCCTATATGATTAATAGGCATTTTATCTAAAAATTGTGAATAGCATCTTAATTTTTTAAATGACTTCATAAGTTGTAGGTTCCATCCTCTTACGTAATAGACACCAAAGTGTGCAACCATAATTAATTTTTACAAAGCAGTGGTCTCTTTGTTGTGTGTTTACCTAAAGTGCAGATGGTGGTGGGTTAATTTTTAGGAGTGAGGCAGACTGGTTGGCTTGGATCAGATTAATGTGTCTGGGTAGTTGTCATGTCTTCCTGTGGATTGTTACCATGTGATCTAGCAAGTTAAAAGTCCTGCTTAGCTTGTTAGTCTAGTTCAAAGCAGGATTTATTTTCACATCAAATTAACATGTACTCATCCTGATATGCATGTTATATTTCTGGGGTATTGAACACCAATCCATCATCTATTTACAAGGTTTTGATATTGACGTTGGTCTTCAAAATTCATAGAAGTTCTCTTCTTGTCATGATTATGTATACATTGTACTAGGGTGCCATGATGGTTGACCAGCCCATTTAATTTGTATTGTGAAGACAAGGTTTGATCAGTACATGGTGATTACATATACCTGATTTGATTCTAATTGATGACATAATATTGATAAGTTATGGTTACACATGGATCCACTGCCATATGAGCCCAAACACTTTTTAAAGTTCAATTTGGATTACTTTCTTTACTATTGCAAGAGAAAGGTTGTTGTTAGTTTAAAGTAGATGCAAGGTAATGGAAATATAGATTCCACCACTGCCTCAAGTGTGTTACAATATTTCTCAACTCGAATCCATTAAATTTTTAAATTAAAAATATTTAAAATTTAACTGTTGAAAGTGAAGAAATATCATAATAGACGAGATATAGGGGTGGAGTCTGTTTCTCTAATGATTTTAAGACATTATCTAACCAAGTTTATCCTTCCTCTTCAAAGATTTGCAGAAAGTTGTGTTCTTTATATGTGACGTCATCAGGCATGGTCGCCTTTTTTCATGACGTCACAATAGGAAATTTAGTAGAAATCAAGAAAATTTGACATCGTAATTGAAATTTCGACCAATCATTGGCCCAGAATAAAGTTTTCTCTAGAGAGGAGAAATATTTTTCTCACACCGATCAAGACATGTAAAAATAGCATGGGCCTTAATTTGACATTATTCCATATCTCTTAAGAGGATAAGGTACATTGCCACATATATGTGATATATGTATTTAAATAATCACAAAGTATTATCAAGCTATCAAATAATATTTCATATGGTGTAGCATTCTACTTTTTTTCATTGGTTATGAAGATCATGTGATGCCAAGAATATAAATTATATTGACTCCATGTTTCTATTTAATTATATATTGACGGTCAATATTAAAAATCTTGCAAAACACTATGTTTCTATTTATTTATATATCCATCAGTTGTGCACAAGATATTCTTACCTCTAAAAGTTGAAGAAATATGGAAAAATAATGAAATGTGATCAATAATTGCCTATTTGACATATTTTTAACTCACCTGGCCCAAAGGGCTAAGTGAGCTTTTCTCATCACTTGGCGTCCATCGTCCGTTGTCGTCCGTTGCCGTTAACTTTTACAAAAATCTTCTCCTCTGAAACTACTTGGCCAAATTAAACCAAACTTGGCCACAATCATCATTGGGGTATCTAGTTTAAAAAATGTGTCCGGTGACCCGGCAAACCAACCAAGATGGCCACCATGGCTAAAAATAGAACATAGGGGTAAAATGTAGATTTTGGCTTATATCTCTGAAACCAAAGCATTTAGAGCAAATCTGACATGGGGTAAAATTGTTTATCAGGTCAAGATCTATCTGCCCTGAAATTTTCAGATGAATTTGACAACCCGTTGTTGGATTGCTGCCCCTGAATTGGTAATTTTAAGGAAATTTTGCCGTTTTTGGTTATTATCTTGAATATTATTATAGATAGAGATAAACTGTAAACAGCAATAATGTTCAGCAAAGTAAGATCTACAATTAAGTCAGCTTGACTAAAATGGTCAGTTGACCCCTTAAGGAGTTATTGCCCTTTATAGTCAATTTTTAACCATTTTTCGTAAATTTTTGTAATCTTTTACAAAAATCTTCTCCTCTGAAACTACTAAGACAAATTTAACAAACTTGTCCACAATCATCATTAGGGTATATAGTTTAAAAAATGTGTCCGATGACCCCGCCCGCGAACCAAGATGGCCGACATGGCTAAAAATAGAACATAGGGGTAAAATGTAGATTTTGGCTTATACAACGTATCTCTGAAACCAAAGCATTTAGAGTAAATCTGACGAGGGTAAAACTGATGATCAGGTCAAGATCTATCTGCCCTGAAATTTTCAGACCAATCAGGCAACCCGTTGTTGGGTTGCTGCCCCTGAATTGGTAATTTTAAGAAAATTTTGCAGCTTTTGGTTATTATCTTGAATATTATTATAGATAGAGATCAACTGTAAACAGCAATAATGTACAGCAAAGTAAGATCTACAAATAAGTCAACATGACCAAAATTGTCAATTGACCCCTTAAGGAGTTATTGCCCTTTATAGTCAATTTTTGTAAATTTTTTCATAAATTTTGTAAATTTTTGTAAATTTTTTACAAAATATTTTCCACTGTAACTACTGGGCCAAGTTCAGATAGATAGAGATAATTGTAAGCAGCAAGAATGTTCAGTAAAGTAAGATCTACAAACACATCACCATCACCAAAACACAATTTTGTCATGAATCCATCTTTGTCCTTTGTTTAATACGCACATATACCAAGGTGAGCGACACAGGCTCTTTAGAGCCTCTAGTTTTATTAGAGATAACATAGTGTATGTTTCATCAAAAAAAAATATTTTAATAATCTTACCATGGTCTATCTCCTTTAAAATAATTGTTTTACACCACATCTATGCCTAATGTCAATTACGCTAAATGTTCTTTTAACTTAGGTCTCAAATTCTGTACTAGAAGGTTTCACAATGCTAGAACCTAGAACAAGATGGAAATCCATAGCATTGAACAGTGTACAATTTGGATTTTTCCTAATTTACAGGAAAATAAACCCAAAAGATTTCCTTCTCTTATTTCATACCATAAGATATACCACAAAAATGTTCAACTATTAACAATAAAATTGATTGTCTCTAAGTTTACATGAAACATCACAAAGTGAGACTTTCCTCAACTCAAAAATTGACCCATCAAAATATCCAATCACATTTTAAGAAAACCTAACTACTTTTGACAAGTTTAATTAAACCTTGATAAAGCCCATTATTGTTTGTCTTTATTGAGAATCTGGTGTTGATGTTAGATAATGTCTTTATTGAGAATCTGGTGTTAATGTTAGATAATGTCTTTATTGAGAATCTGATGTTGATGTTAGATAATGTCTTTATTGAGAATCTGGTGTTGATGTTAGATATTGTCTTTATTGAGAAACTGGTGTTGATGTTAGATAATGTCTTTATTGAGAATCTGATGTTGATGTTAGATAATGTCTTTATTGAGAATCTGGTGTTGATGTTAGATGTCTTTATTGAGAATCTGGTGTTGATGTTAGATAATGTCTTTATTGAGAATCTGGTGTTGATGTTAGATAATGTCTTTATTGAGAATCTGGTGTTGATGTTAGATAAAGTCTTTAATGAGAATCTGGTGTTGATGTTAGATAATGTCTTTATTGAGAATCTGGTGTTGATGTTAGATAATGTCTTTATTGAGAATCTGGTGTTGATGTTAGATAATGTCTTTATTGAGAATCTGGTGTTGATGTTAGATAATGTCTTTATTGAGAATCTGGTGTTGATGTTAGATAATGTCCTTATTGAGAATATGGTGTTGATGTTAGATAATGTCCTTATTGAGAATCTGATGTTGATGTTAGATAATGTCTTTATTGAGAATCTGATGTTGATGTTAGATAATCATCCATTACCTACAGCTTTTATAGAGTTGGACCAACGTAAAGCTATCATGAGTTGTGTAGGCTTGTCCATTGCTGAAGACACCTAGATGTCTAATTGAAAAACAAATAATGAGTTGCTGAATTGTCTCACAAGTCTCACAAATGATTAAAGACATTTCTTCCTGAGTAGTTTCTGTTTTAATACTTGATACACCTTATCACTTTCTTTTCACCATTACTGGACATCACAGAGGTTCCTGTAAATTTTTGGAGTCACAAGAGAAAATGTCTGATACCACAAAGCGAAAGGGATTGGTGTATGACTTCAATATTACAAGTGTCACAAATTCTCAGGGCAAGTGTTGCAGCTTTCCAAAAAGCAATATAGTCTATATGACCCAAGGACAATAAACCACCATTGCTTACCCTATATGAGTACTTGTAGTTTTTGTCTGGCCTGCCACTAGGGATAGTGATCTGGCGGCGGGTTAACTAACTACTTTAAAGCTTAATATTTCAGAAGGTAGAAGACCAGGATACTTCATACTTTGTATATAGATGCCTTATGTTATGAAGTTTCCGTCCGACATTTGTCTATTGTCATTGACCTCATTTTCATGGTTCAGTGAATACTTTTGTAATGTTAATTTCTCTCTTTTTATGAGTAATAGGATAACTATATCTGGTATGTGTGTACCTTGCAAGGTCCTCATGCTTTTCAGACAGTTTTCAATTGACCTTGACCTCATTTCATGGATCAGTTAATAAGGTTAAGTTTTCATGGTCAAGTCCGTATCTCAGATGCTGTAAGCAAAAGGTCTTCTATATTAGGTATATGGAATGATTGTAAGGTGTACATGTCCAACTGGCAGGTGTCATCTGACCTTAACCTAATTTTCATGGTTCAGTGGTTAAAGTTAAGTTTTTGTGTTTTGGTCTATTTTTCTAATACTATAGGCAATAGGTCAACTATATTTTATGTATGGCATGATTGTAAGGTGTATGTCTGTCTGGCAGGTATCATATGACCTTGACCTCATTTTCATGGTGCATTGGTCTGTTCAGTTTCCTGTTTACGATGAACATGTCTGGAAGGTTTTATTTGACCTTGACCTCATTTTCACAGTTCATTGCTCCATGTTAAGTTTTTGTGTTTGGGTCTGTTTTTCTTAAACTATAAGCAATAGGTCAACTATATTTGGTGTATGGAATGATTGTAAGGTGTATATGTCTGTCTGGCAGGTATCATATGACCTTGATCTCATTTTCATGGTGCATTGGTCTGTTCAGTTTCATATTTAAGTTTGTTTCTTAGATACTATATGCAATAGGTCCACTATATTTGATCCATGGAATGATTATAAGGTGTACAAGTCTGTCTGGATTCATCTGACCTTGACCTATTTTCATGGTTCTTTGGTCAATATAAAGTTTTCAGGGTCTGGTCTGTTTCTAGTATTCAAAAGCAATGGGTCAACTATATTCAGTGTATGGAATGATTGTAAGGTGTACATGTATTTCTGGCTTGGTTTATCTGACCTTGACCTCATTTTCTTGGATCATGTTAAGTTAATGTGATACTTGTAGTAAAACTTCCTATTTAGGACTATCAACATAAAATCAATGGTCAGTAAAGCAGGCGAGACATTTCAGCGTGTGACTCTTGTCTCAAGAAGTCAGCATTAATTTATGTGTGAGTTTTCAGTTTTCGTTATCCTTGTCTTTACAATTGTGCTGGTTTTTGTTGTTATTTTTACAGTGTTCAGATCACAGGCATATTTGACTGCAGACAATTTAAGGTGTTTTGCTTATGTCTAATTTTGTTTTGTTCTCCCTAATTTTAAAATTGTATATACAGCTTTGCCATCCAGTGTACCCCAAAAAGTCATACAGAAACATACAGTACTCACTAGTATTTCATTTGACTTTTTTTATGTCAGGGTAATTTGATAGAATAAAGTCTTAAGAACCATTAACTAGTAAAATATCTCTGAAGTTTTTTTTTAATTGACTCTGTTGTTTCTGAAACATCGAAATTTTTTCTGATTTTTTTTAAATATTTTTATTAGCATCATGAGAAAAAATCAAATTCATCTTCAAATTTGTCAAAGTCTGTGTTAGAAAATACAGTTGAGTTATCTACAGGTTCCATCTTTTCATCATTTTTCGATAATCTTCCTTTGTTATACTTTAAAATCTAAAAAAGAAATACAGTATCACATTACATATATGTAGATTCTTAAGTGTTTAGGGTTTAGCAAATATCTGCAGTACGAGGAATGATTAGCATTGGAATTACTCAGTAATGAAATATTGTCTTACAATTTATTTTATATTTTTGAGGTGGGAGCCCATATCTTGAGATTCCATATATTTATCCCTGTTTTGTATTTTGCTTTTTTTAATTGTCATGGACAGGAGATTTTATATATTGGTTAGTTAAAAGCTATAAAAATCAAGAATATTTAGTCTTATTTATCAATAAAGATATTTGACCTTGATTATAATTGTAAGTCTGTTGACATTAAATTTTGCAACCTTGACCTTTAAGCTAAAGATGCAGATCTTGGTTGTGTAGCTATAGTGGCAATGAATACTAATACAAGGTATCAACATTTAACTCCAACTGGTTTTCAAGATAAAAACAGTTCTCAATATTAACCTAAGGTCTGTAATGTTAATCTTAGTTTATGACCTTGACTTATGTTTATTGTAACCTTGACTTTCAATCTACATATTCTATAATAGTTTTCTGCCCAAGAGTTTATCTAAGTCCAATTGAAGAAAATGAACCAGATTAATGACTGTCCAAGACACTGCCAATCATATGTTAATTAAATACAGCTGTTGCCAAATGTGAGTGACACCAAAATCTTATGCAACCAGGACTGTCAGGACTGTGATATTTGTTACATTTAACACCACTTGATGGTATTAAATTCCGGATAAAAAGTTTTGTTTTATACAACTGTTTTGTGGCAAATCTCTGTTTATCATTTATAGTGGTAAACCATCAAAGGGGCAGAATAGATAACACAAACATGATTATGGAAAAAGCTGCTTGGCAGAAAGACCAACAGGACATCAAACATATAATAACCAAAAAAATGTAGTGAAATATTTAACATGAAGGATCATAAATATAAATTTATTAAGGAATGACTGTAATATTTTTTTCTATCTATGAAGAAATAACATCTAAAATGTGGTGCACACTGAATAACCTGCATAGCAGGTCATTTAAAAGTGTGCACCACATTTTTAAGGTTATTTCGAAAAGACAGAAAAAAATATTACAGTCATTCCTTATAACCTAATTCTAAATTCCATTTATAAGGAGTAAATCATGAAAAAACATTGATGACGTCACAGTCACATGACAAAATCGTGTCTATGAGCTGATAGACAAAAAACTTTCAGTCAATCAGAAGACGTGTTACATCCAAAATTAAATTATTCAAATATGTTTCAACAATACAGTTGCAAACATGGAATTTGCTGTGAGGTATGAGTTCTTAATCTAATGGCTAAAAAACTTTCAGTGACTGACAAGATTAAGAACAGCGGAATAAGCATTTTCCTTTGATATATGGTTTATAAATCCAAGTACATATCCTTTGGTTATGTCTAATATTCTTTAAAGTTTTTTGGACAGATCATGTTGCACGACTAGCATAGAATTTTAAGTAGAAATATAAGGCTCCAAACAAATGTACTTTATTGAAAAAAGATTATTTTATCTTGGCCATCGAAATGTCCCCTGCCACTTTATAACTGTGTAATATTAGTCTCTCAAGAGTAGACTAGAATAATGCCAGACATCCAGAGTATGATGAAACATTTTTAAAAATATTTTCCCTTAACACTGATTATTGAATGTATAATGAATTAACTACCAGAAAATCAATCACCATACTCATAAAACATCACATCAAAATTATTCATGATTAAGTTCTTGCATGCAATAATTGAACAAAAAATTGCCAGAACTCCAGCAAAAGTCATCTACTCAAAATAAAGGTATATTATCGGCAACTTTATATGATGAAAATTTCACCAAGTATGAAAGCTTTTACAAATATATATTTCAATTGTTGCAAGAATAAAATGAAATGTTCAGAAGGCGTTTAATCAGAAGCCATTAAAATGGCTCTGTAGAAAACATAAAGATACCTTTAGGCGTATAGATATTGCGTCAAATATGAGAGTTAAAAGTCCCAATGACAATGCAATGACAAACCAGAAAATTTTCAAAAACAAAAGCTAGTCTACAATCACCAATCCCAACAATAGTGTTAAGGCTGGTACACACAATAACATTTGCATTATAAGATTTGTATCATAAGATTTTATTATTATAAGACTCTCTCGTATACCTACAGAGATTAATCTTATAAGATTGTAAACAAATAATAAAATTGCTCATACTTTTCTTGTCAATTGGTGTTCACAATGGAAAATGAAGTAGTTACAACAGTCTCTTTTGCTTTTCCTCTAATGAAGTTACTGAGAAAGGGGAAAGCTAAAAGAAAATGTTGGACAAGAACTTTAATCAAATGGAGTAATATTATATTTGGTTTATTATGCAATATTGGGAGACTTGACGATTAGGGAAGATCAAAATACTGACGTAGCTTTAAATTATTTATGGTACTTTGTGTCTTCCTCATTCCAGTCCAAATAAATAAGTTTTTTCAACATCTCTATTTGTGATGATAACCATTTGTTTTCAAGAACCACATGCATTTGATATTGTAAACGTGCATACAAATGACCCCATAATGGAACAGTTTGATTGGATGAAGATAAAAGGTCAGCTTGGATTTGTATTAAGGATAGAACATTGATCTATTCTTAACACAATCTTATAATATACTGTATTAAGCATGTACACAAGGTAAGATTTTGTATTACAATTCAAGTCTTATAATATAAATATTATCCTGTGTACTTGTCTTTAAGTGTTAAGTTATTTGATCCAAGTATACTAGAGCTAGTGAATGACATTTAAAACTAGATGTGTCACAACAATATGAATGCCTGCAAGAAAAGCTTTGAGCCATTTTTAGGAGTGGAAATTTGAGAATGAAAGTCCGTATAACTGTTATTTTCATGAAATTTTCAAAGTCCAAAGCCTGTAATTTCGGCATAAATCAGTGGAGCGAAAACCAAACCTGAACTTGATCTGTAACTCATCATAGTAGACTCACATACTATAAATCAGCTCAATATGTGAAGGCATTTGGAAAAAAAGTCAGTATAAGTCCAAAGCCTGTTATTTCGCAAAAATCAGCAGAGTGGAACCTAACGTTAACTCAATCTGTAACTCATCATAGTAGAGTCACATACTAACTAGAGGCTCTAAAGATCCTGCGTCGCTCACCTTGGTCTATGTGCATATTAAACAAAGGACACTCTACAACATTATAGACAAGAATAGAATTCATGACAAAATTCTGTTTTGGGGATGGTGACTTGTTTGTAGATCTTACTTTACTGAACATTCTTGCTGTTTACAGTTATCTCTATTTATAATGAACTTGGCCCAGTAGTATCAGAGGAAAAGATTTTTGTAAAAGATTACAAAAATTTATGAAAAACTGTGAAAAATTGAATTTAAAGGGCAATAACTCCTGAAGGGGTCAACTGACAATTTTGATCATGTTGACTTATCTGTAGAGATTACTTTGCTGAACATTTTTGCTGTTTACAGTTTATCTCTATCTATTATAATATTCAAGATAACCAAAAACTGCAAAAATTTCCTTAAAATTACCAATTCAAGGACAGCAACTCAACAACGAGTTGTCTGATGCTTCTGAAAATTTCAGGACAGATAGATCTTGACCTGATGAACATTCTTATCCTATGGGGGGTCAGATTTGCTCTAAATGCTTTAGTTTCAGAGATATAATCCAAAAACTGCATTTTACCCCCATGTTTTATTTTTAGCCATGGCAGCCATTTTGGTTGATGGGTGGGGTCATCAGATACATTTTTTAAACTAAATACCCTAATTGATGATTTACGCCAAGTTTGGTTTAATTTGGCCCAATTGTTTCAGAGGAGAAGATTTTTGTAAAAGATTACAAAAATTAACGAAAAATTGTGAAAAATTTACTTTCAAGGGCAATAACTCCTTATGGGATCAATTAAAAATTTTGGTCATGTTTGACATATTTGTAGATCTTACTTTGCTGAACATTATTGCTGTTTACAGTTTATCTCTATCTATTATAATATTTAAGATAATAACCAAAAACTGCAAAATTTCCTTAAAATTACCAATTCAGGGGCAGCAACCCAACAACGGATTGTCTGATGTGTCTGAAAATTTCAGGGCAGATAGATCTTGACCTGATAAACAATTTTACACCCGTGTCAGAATTGCCCTAAATGCTTTAGTTTCAGGGATATAAGCCAAAAACTGCATTTTACTATTTTTAGCTATGGCGGCCATCTTGGTTGATTGGCGGGGTCATCAGATATATTTTTTAAACTAGAAACCCTAAGGATGATTAAGACCAAGTTTGGTTTAATTTGGCCCAGTAGTTTCAGAGGAGAAGACTTTTGTAAAAGTTAACAGACGAAGACGACGGACGCCAAGTGATGAGAAAATCTCACTTGGCCCTTTTGGCCCAGTTGAGCTAAAAATCAGCTCAATATGTGAAGGCATTTAGAAAAAAAGTCTATATAACCGGAATGACAGAATGATGGAATGACGTATAAGGTTAACACTTTATGGTAACGACCACTTGTGGCGGGGTCATAAAAAAACTTATTTATTTGACCATTAATATCCCATAAAACAAATCAGAATTTTTTTCAAATCTTACAGTGTAATATGTTCACCAACTCAAGCAATTACGTAAATCAATCAAAGCAAACTCAAATTATGTCTTAAATTTTGCTACAGTACTTATCCAGAAGGCATTGGCCTATTGCTATACCAATTGCTTAAAAAGTTTTACCCAATTGCAGTATGTTTTCACCTCTACCTAACTGGTCAACTGGTAAAACAGTTTAGCAAATTGCTTCAATGATAATAAGGACAGTAAATCTTACAATTAAAGTCCTGTAACTCTGAAACACCAAACCAGTAAATTAAAAAAAATCCAAAGGGAGCTTCTCTTCATCATTCCCAGTATTAAAAGTTTTGAGGAAATCAATGCAGGCATACTGGAGCTAGTGCTCAATGTGTGAAAATTTACCTTAAATCTAATGGTTAATGTCCCATAACTCTGGAACTACAAAGCCAAAAATGTTCAAAATAGAAAGGGAGCATTGTTTAAAGCATATTTGAATTATTGAGTAAACGTTGCCTCAAGACTTTCCAATTGGTGGTATATTATTGTCAACTATACATAACAAGGAACAATCCTACCAAGTATAAAAGCTTTCAGACATATGGTCTTAAAGGAATAGCATTTTCCAGGTATATCAACATCAATCATATTACACTAAGCCAAAAATGGTCAACGACTTAACATCTCATAACTTCTACAAAAATTGTCATCATGGCAGTGGATATATAGATCAACTAAGCATGACAATGCTACCAAGTAAGAAATCTTTGTGGAAAACAGTCCCAGAGTAGTAATGTTCACAAAGTGTTACAGAATAAAAACAAAGACTATTTGTACATGTATTGGGATGTGGGATAATTACTGTACAAAGAAGCATATAATGATAATGGCACCATCTAGACATTAATGAATACTAATGATCAGGTTTGTCAATGTTTAATGAACTATACCAGTATATTGTACAGGGAAAACTACTCCTTAGTAAAACAATTTTATTATTCACAGTAAGAATCAAAGCGATGTCTATTTGCTAATGCTATTACCACACACGACTTAATTTTTGACAATTTAAAAAAATATACAGATGCTAAAATTACGATTACTGTAAATTCAGAAATTATTGTGAGGTGTCTATCATTGCTAATAATGCAACTGGGTGATTATCGCAATAATAAGCACTCGCATTCTGATATCTGATACATATATCTATATGCAGATATTCCTGAAATTGCAATAATTAATCTCCCATTTTTGTCAATTCTTCAAAAATCGCAATAATAAGTGTATGCAATACTTTCTGATTCTACAGTACATTAATATAGCACTTTCATTGTGACAAGTAATGACTAGAGATAATGGACTATTGTGACTGACCACCAAAACTTACTTAGTGCTAGTATGTAGAATTGTAAGTGTTGGAATTTTGTCACCAAGATTTAAAGCTTCAATTTCTCTAGTAGGTCACAAATCTTTTAGATGACTTTGCTTTAAAACAACATTTAAGTTAATTTCACTCTAGACTCTGTTATCTTTTGCTTTTTTTATTCTGGCTGGCTGACGAACAGTCCTTGGACTTCCAAGAATTCTATGTGTGATAAATTTCTATGCTTTTCCTAATTTTTTGTACAAAACTGAATGAATGATGTCTATACTTACCGTTTTAGTTGTTTGGCTATCTGTTTTGTTAAACTTAGATAACTTTTGTAAAAACTCTATGCTTTTTTCTGTTCTATCTTCGTTTTGTCTGTTTCCTGTAAGAAAAAATAATGGAAGTTATACTGTATCATTTCTCAGTAGAAATTTGAGGTTTTAGCAAGTGAAACCATACAAAAGACTGATTTAATGAACACAGACTTTTTTTTCGATACAGTTGCAACGATATCATATCAGTTATGAAGACAATAAAATTCAAAGCAATTCCAAGTAAGATTTCTTTTCTATATAGTGGGTCAAAAACATTTGAGAAAGTGGAACTGCATCTTGAAAATTAATCATGTTTGAAACATTTTAAAACGGGAGAAAACAAAATTAACAAACAAAAAAAGAATATTTATTACTTTTGTATACACTTATAACATTAGGTTTCTCATCTATACTTGTTAACAATCATGACATCTGAAACACATCTTCGCTAGCCAAGGATTACTATCCGACCAGCTCCTCTTCACCAGGAGAGTGTGGGATCGTAATCCTTGGCTAGCGAAGATGTCAGAAACATAATAGACCACAATAATAAAGATATGAAAAACCATATGCCTTTAAATTGACAAAGGAGTTGTTTTGAACTTCCTGTAGAGTTTCCTGTAACATACTTAATGAATTTCAAAGAGTACTGCTTTTTTTTAAAAGTTGATGCTACAAGTCATCATGATTTTCTTGTAAGGTGTAAGTTCATTGAAGCCCTTCCAACTTAAGGATGAAGAACAGCAATAAAAACTCCATTGACCATTTCTACTTCTCAATATGAGTTTGGTCTCCATCCCATATCCTTTTTCCATCAGATGCTCCATATAAATAGGGTAACATTTATTGAAAATAAAATAATGTAAAACATAAAAGCATCTGAGAACTTATAGTACACTAAAAATGTAGAAGGGTCTAAAATTTCTTTTCTGTTAAGGTTGTTGCATATATTTCTTTTTTTTTAAGATAATAATTCAAATTGTGATCTTTGTAATAGTTTTAGTAGCTGTGTGAAAGAAATCACTTGTTAAATCAGTAACTAAAATTGAGGAAACCCGAAAATTCAATGTTGATATAAAGTAGTAATATTTCTGATAAAGACAAAAATTGGTAGATAAGTGTATATGTAATTTTTTTATGATATATCATGGAATTTAAAGACATTCTATCCAACAAAGATATCTATTTCAAGATTGATGATGCTTTCAAGGATGTGATAATCTTGTCAACATTGTTTTCTTCCTGAATTCATCAGACTTCTACCCACAAAGTCCTCTCCATACAATTAAATTAGTTTCATGCAAAAAAACTGCTTTTTATGCAGAATTATGTTAGTTTTGCCCCAACTGTGAGAATTTTTTGAAACTGACCACTGTATTTAATGTCACTGATTACGAGAATCCTAAAATGTTAAAGTCGGTGAAAAACATATCACTTCTAATTAAGGATGGAATTTTTTGTGTGATTATAAGAAGTTGCACATGTAGTCTTCTTACAAAAATAATCATGGTCTTCTTAAATGAATTCGACAAGCAAATAAAATGACGTCAGTGCTTATACAACCTTATAAAACAATTTTTAGATGTTTTCATTCAACAGACCTTTCTAAAACATTAATTAGATATAAGAAGATGTGGTATGAGTGCCAATGAGACAACTCTCCATCCAAGTCAAAATTTATAAAAGTAAACCAATATAGGTCAAAGTACGGTCTTCAACACGGAGCCTTGGCTCACACCGAACAGCAAAAAATGGCCCCAAAAATTACTAGTGTAAAACCATTCAAACGGGAAAACCAACGGTCTAATCTATATAAAAAACAAGAAACACTTATGAACCACATCAACAAACGACAACTACTGAACACCAGATTCCTGACTTAGGACAGTTCCAAACAATTGCAGCGGGTTTAAACGTTTTAATGGTACCAAACCTTCACCCTTATCTGAAACAATAGTGTAACATCACAACATAGAAAGACACACTTGCCTGTAAAACAGTCAAAAACCTGAGTGTCTGCATTAAATTTTGTCTTCATCAGAAATGATATTACTTCATATAATAAAAGACAATTCTTAAACTTTTCTGGCTACAGATTTTTGATTAAACAGCCATGTGGCCAGGATGTGTAACATTAAACAATTTCCTTAACACAAGCAGACTGGCAGTCCAATGGAGAAGGTCTGGTAAGAGCTAGTTTTGGCCTAAAATTTGAAGTACATCTGATGAAAGATTTTTCACATTTTTCGAACACTTCAGTGTCTACTTCAGTCAATTCAATCAGTTAATGTAAATGATTTGAACTGATTTGGTAATTAAAGCTATAATATGAAAAATCAATCAAATATGCCATAAAACGTCACTTTTCAGATATTTTTTGTCTAAAATGAAAGTGGCCGCATTCATGTTCAATCAGTCTCAACCTTTATAATTATATGTTATGTATTATCATCAAATACAACATAAATTTATATATTTAGACTGAACACAAGTGCGGCCTCTTCTGTTTAAGACAAAAAAACATCTAAAAATTAGCACATTTTACTGCTAAAATTGTGAAGATTTCAATAATTTTGCATGAATTAATTATGCTCGTACCTGATGTATGTGCATTGTATTGTAAAAACAGCTCATATTTATGTAACAAAAGTATTCTACTTTCCAAAAATCGCTAAAAGTTAACAAGTTGGTAAAAATTGTATATTTTGGGGCCAAAAAGGGGGTCTTACCGGGCCTACTCCTTTCAGGCTCTTCATCCCTTCCTTGTAGAACCTACCTATTGTATTAATTGTTACCAGTAATAGTTTATTGTCCTGAATATGCATGAAATAATTGCTACTAGACATTAAGCAAACAACAATGAATTAATCTTTAACACCACTACCAACACTGTAAATGTCACAAGAGTGCACACGCTGAAATGTCTCGCCTTCTTTACTAATCATTGATATTATGTTGATAGTCCTAAATATAAAGCTTTACTACAACTTTCACATACACTTAACATGATCCAAGAAAATGAGGTCAAGGTCATATAAACCAAACAAGAAATACATGTACACCTTACAATCATTCGATACACTAAATATAGTTGACCTATTGGTTATAGTTTCTAAGATACAGACTTAATCAAGAAAACTAAACATTGACCAATGAACCATGAAAATGAGGTCAAGGTCAGATGAACCATGCCAGGCAGACATGTACAGCTTGCAATCCTTCCATACAACAAATATAGTTGACCTATTGCTTATAGTATTAGAAAAACAGACCAAAACACTAAAACTTAACACTGAGCAATGAACCGTGAAAATGAGGTCAAGGTCAAATAAAACCTGCAAGACTGACATGTACATCATAAAATATTATCATACACCAAATATAGATGACCTATTGCATATAGTATTAGAAAAAAAGACCAAAGCTCAAAAACTTAACTTTGACCACTGAACCATGAAAATGAGGTCAAGGTCAGAAGACACCTGCCAGCTAGACATGTACACCTTACAATCATTCCATACACCAAATATAGTAGACCTATTGCATATAGTATAAGAAAAACAGACCAAAACACAAAAACTTAACTATAACCACTGAACCATGAAAATGAGGTCAAGGTCAGATGACACCTGCCAGTTGGACATGTACACCTTACAGTCCTTCCATACACTGAATATGCTAGACCTATTGCTTCTAGTATCTGAGATGTGGACTTGACCACCAAAACTTAACCTTGTTCACTAATCCATGAAACGAGGTCGAGGTCAAGTGAAAACTGTCTGACAGGCATGAGGACCTTGCAAGGTACGCACATACCAAATATAGTTATCCTATTACTCATAATAAGAGAGAAATTAACATTATAAAAAATGTTAACTTTTTTTTCAAGTAGTCACTGAACCATGAAAATGAGGTCAAGGACAATGGACATGTGACAGATGGAAACTTCGTTACATAAGGCATCTATATACAAAGTATGAAGCATCCAGGTCGACCACCTTCTAAAATATAAAGCTTTTAAGAAGTAAGCTGCCGCCACTGCTGCCGGATCACTATCCCTATGTCGAGCTTTCTGCGACAAAAGTCGCAGGCTCGACAAAAAATGACACATTTACTATAAAAATACACTTTCACCAACAACAAAAAAATGCACATGATAATTCTTTTACACACACATATATATATCTTGTCATTTAATATCAACAAGTTTACTTAAAAATCAAAAATTGACAATTGCATCTATGAAATGTTAAAAATCTAATCTAATATCAACAAAAGTGCACACGCTGAAATGTCTCGCCTTCTTTTCTAATCATTGATATTATGTTGATAGTCCTAAATATAAAGCTTTCTTACAACTGTCACATAAACTTAACATTAACCAAGAAAACTAAACATTGACCAATGAACCATGAAAATGAGGTCAAGGTCAGATGAACCATGCCAGGCAGGCATGTACAGCTAACAATTCTTCCATACAACAAATATAGTTGACCTGTTGCTTATAGTTTAAGAAAAACAGACCAAAACACAAAAACTTAACACTGAGCAATGAACTGTGAAAATGAGGTCAAGGTCAAATAAAAACTGCACGACTGACATAAAGATCATAAAATATTTCCATACACCAAATATAGTTGACCTATTGCATATAGTATTAGAAAAAAAGACCAAAACTCAAAATCTTAACTTTGACCACTGAACCATGAAAATGAGGCCAAGGTCAAATGACACCTGCCAGCTAGAAATGTACACCTTAAAATCATTCCATACACCAAATATAGTTGACCTGTTGCTTAAAGTGTAAGAAAAACAGACCAAAACACAAAAACTTAACATAAGTCATGAACCATGAAAATGAGGTCAAGGTCAAATAAAACCTGCCAGACTGACATGTACATCATTAAATATTTCCATACACCAAATATAGTTGACCTACTGCATACAGTATTAAGAAAACAGACCAAAACACAAAAACTTAACATTTAGCAATGAACCTTGAAAATGAGGTCAAGGTCAAATAAAACATGCCAGACTGACATGTACATCGTAAAATATTTCCATACAC